GATCGCTCTTGTCCGCCCTGCTCCTGCTCCTCCTGCTCCTGCTCCTGCTCCTGCTCCTGCTCCTGCTCCTGCTCATCCTGCCCCTCAAGACCCTCCTGCTGCTCCTGCTGCTCCTGCTGCTCCTCCTACTGCTGCTCCTGCTCCTGCTCCTGCTCCTCCTGACCCTTCTGACCCTCCTCTTCTTGACCCTGCTCCTGAACCTCTTGATCCTCCTGCTCCTTCACTGCTGCTCCTCCTACTGCTGCTCCTGCTTTTACTCCTGATCGTGGTGCTGCTCCTCGTCCGTCGCAATTCTCATGACGATCTCTCTCTTCCCTTGTAATGACTTGGGGAGATAGAAGCAGGATACTTGCAAAGAAAAATACCGGATTGATTGATTGATTGATTGATTGATTGATTGATTGATTGATTGATTGATTGATTGATTGATTGATTGATTGATTGATTGATTGATTGATTGATTGATTGATTGATTGATTGATTGATTGATTGATTGATTGATTGATTGATTGATTGATTGATTGATTGATTGATTGATTGATTGATTGATTGATTGATTGATTGATTGATTGATTGATTGATTGATTGATTGATTGATTGATTGATTGATTGATTGATCGATGGATGGATGGATGGAATTTCGAAGGGGTCCACATTTCTCGTATGACAAGAGTGTTGCTTGCAGCTTTAGCGATGATGATCAAACTCGCTGCTCTCTTCCTCCTCCTCAATTCGGCATGTGGATTTCTGCCGTCGTCGCACATTCGCTTCAGCACGATGACACAAAGGAGAATGACTTCCGCCTGCTCTCATAAGAGCATGAAGATGGTACTCTTGCCTACCAGCGACCAGGTACGCGTCTACTTCTCCTCGTCTCTACCTCTTCCTCCTCTTAGCCCTCCCTGCCCTCCTATCCTCCGCCATCTCTTCATCGCCTCCTCCTACTGATTCGTTTTCCCGTCCACGTTTTTCTTGTCCACTTCCTCTCTCCCTCATCGCAGGCGCTTCTTCTCGCCGCGGACGCTGAGCCAGCTGTCACCCCGGTCACAGCAGGAGAGACACCCAACCTCCTGATGCAGGTGTCCTCCTCTCCTCTCTCTCCCTTGCCTCCTCGGCTCTCTTCTGTTCTGCTCCTCTTGCCTGATGTTTCGCTCTCTTTCGCTCCTTCAGATCACTGGCACAGAGAACGTTCTTGTTTCCGTCCTCGCCATCTTCGCTCTCGTCATGGGCATTGCTGTCACCGGAGGCGTCGGGTATCTCACCTACCTCAACTGGAAGGTGCAGACATGATTCAATCTCATCGTCATCCGCTCTTATTGCCTTCCTCTCTGTCTCTGTCTCTGTCTCTCTCACGCTCTCTTCCGTCCTCCAGGACGAACAGTACATCAAGAGAGTCACGGACCCGAGCAGCCCAGAGTATCGTGAGCTACAAATGAGAGCCAGAGCGCTGGAGAGGAGCGAGGTGATATCCGCGTCTTCTGCCTTCGCATTCCCCATGACCCACTCCTCCTCTCTCCCCCTTCTCCATCCCCAGCTGCCCTTGTCTGTCCTTTCTGACTTATCTTGTGGTCTCAGTCAGGGAAGAAGAAGAGCGTTCTTGACGCTATCGAGGAGATGGAGAAACCTGCCAGACCCACCATGAACATTCCCTCCGAGCCAGGTGACCTTGACTTTGGCTTCCCTCTGCTTCTATTGCCTTTGTCTCTATCCCGTGCTTGTACTTCTCACACATGGGAAGGGAATCGAGACGCTCGACGTGCTCGAGCCAAGCGAGAGCGTCAGGAGCAGAAGAAGTCGACGGGCAAGAAGCAGGTGAGGAGAAGAAGGACGGGAAAGAAGAGTGACGTCATGCAGTTGGAAGGGTTGGATGCGACCAGCGAGGAGGGCAACAAGTCATTCTTCAATAATTTCTTCAAGTGAAGTGAAGGCTCAAAGCAATAGCACGTATCAAATATGAAAGTTTATTTGTGTTCACACTCGTAGAAGAAGAAGCGTCAAACTCCTTACAAAGTGGCGCCGTTAGCATCCTGGTTCTGGTCGAGGAAGAGGAGTTCCTTGTAGGTGGCGATCGGCCACAAGTGAGCAGGGCAGATCTCCTCGGCAGCATCGCAGGCCTTGCGAGCCTCGTCCATGATCTCGAGACGGAGGGTGCGAGCGAGCTGAGCCTTCTTAGCGATATCCTCCTCATGGTGGACCGCGTCGAGTCCCTTGCGAACAGCCTGGTGAGCAGCCTCAAGGCTCTTGCAGTCCAACGCTGCCTCCTTCATGGCAGGGATGATCTGCTGCCTCAACATGTCAAGGAGGGAGAGGGCCTCCATCTCCACCATCCCGGTATAGTGCACGTAGTTCACATCTCTGCGGGCAGCTAGCTCTTCCTTGCTCATGATGCCAAGTCCGCCGAACAACTTGACGTTCTTCTCGTCAGTAAGCTTGCCCATGGCCTCAACGCCGTTGTCAATTCTCCAGATCTATCAAATCTCGGTCAGGTTCATCCATGCGCACACAAAGAAACTTACTCCACGCTTGTTTGCCTCGTCCTTCCATGTGGGATCATAACCATTCCCATTGAAGATAACACGCCAGTGCTGGTCGAGAGCCTGCTTAGCAACATCGACAGGCTTCTGACCGGCCTCAATCTTGTCGGAGAACTCTCTGAGAGCATCCGCAGTGATGGCGCAGAGAACAGTGTTGACCAACGAGACGTTCTGAGCAGATCCAACAGCACGGAACTCAAATCGATGACCACCGTAGGGGAATGGCGAGGTTCTGTTGCGATCCTCAGCAGGGACCTGAGTCATGGATCATCAGCACCACAGCAGGTCCGACCAATGTAAGGCATCTCACCTCGAAGTCAGGAACAATGTCGACACCAGACTTGAGCATCTTCTTTGGCGGGGCGTAGTTGTCCGCAGTTCCCTTGCGGAAGTCGTCCAAGAACTTGGTGAGCGAGTCTCCAAGGTAGGTGGAGATGATGGCAGGTGGCGCCTCGCAAGCACCAAGACGGAAGTCGTTGCCTGGAGAGGCGATCGCACTTCGCATCAAGTCACCGTGCTTGTCAACCGCAGAGACGAGCGCGGCCATGAGCACGGGGAAAATCTCTTTCTTTCCGCTAGCCTTGGTGATCTGAGCCGCGTTGAGCAAGTTGATTCCTTCCTTGGTTCCCAAGGACCAGTTGTTATGCTTGCCAGAGCCATTGATTCCAGCAAATGGCTTCTCCTGGAAGAGGCACGCCAAGCCGAAACGAGCAGCAACTTCATCACAGATTTGCATAGCCATCAAGTTCTGATCAATCTGTGAAGTGCAGTGTCCGAAGTATGGAGCCATCTCGTACTGATTTGGTGCGACCTCACGATGGCGGGTCTTCAATGGGATGCCGAGGAGGAAGGCCTGATCATTGATTTAGTAACAGACGCTTACCACAAATGTAAAGTATTCACCTCTTCCTGCATGGCCTTGATGCACTCAAGCGCATGCTGGTTCAAAGGAGCAAAGTAGTGATCGCACATCTCCTGACCCCTGGGCTGATACAAACACTCAGCTCACATGACGCGACAGAGGAAACACTTACAGCCATTCTTCCGATAACAGTTCTGCCAGTCATCTGCAGATCCAAGCGACGAGCATACGCATCGCGAGGGACCAAGAAGAACTCCTGCTCAAGACCGATGTTGCTCTGGACACCCGACACGTCGTATCCGAGGTTCTTGAGGAAGCGAACTCCTTCCTTGTTCAAGGCCTGCTCAGCCCTGAGAAGAGGGGTCTTCTCATCGAGAGCATGTCCAGTCCACGAGATGAAGATGCTGTAGCAAGCTTAGCTTCACCCAATGAGTGCAAGCATTCATTTACCATGGAATGTGGACAGTATCTCCCCTGATGAAGATGGGAGAGGAAGGATCAATGACTTAAAACTCCAGTCAGATCATGCAATTCCAAACATCTTTTCTCACTCGTGTATCCTCCAGCCGTGTGCGTAGCACGAAGTCCTCCGTTGGGGTAGGAGGAGCCATCAGTCTCACCCTTTATCATGGTCTCTCCATCGAACTTGTAGTTGGGCTTGCCGTCCTTGCCAAAGGTGAAGAAGTAGTTGTGAACCTGGCCGGTCATGCCATGCCTAACACCGTTGCTGATTTGAACATATTAGATCGATAGAAAGTTGTGACAAACATCAAGACGTACGCTCCAAGGGGCTGGAACCAGTGCGTGTAAACGTTGGCTTCGTTGTCACGGCCCCACTCCATGACGGCAGCAGCAACTAAAGGAATGGAATCAACTTGTTGAAGACCTTCCATACGGAACAAGACACACCTTTGTCAGCCTTGGTCTCAACCCATTTGGGATCAGCCAGAAGAGCGGCAGACTCTCCTTGCTTCTTCAAGTACTACGCAAAGCAAGTTACTTTGAGGATCCAACAAAAATATGACATGTATTCATTTTTTTCAGTCAGAAAACAGCAAGAATTTATCACAAACACATTTTTTCTTTGCAATCATATTTTCATATGTGTGTTCGCACACTGCACACAGCCGCCAACCCCAACTCGAGACACCATCGCCACACTATCGGATACGACCCACGGGTTCCGCATCCCTGACACGACTGAACCGCCTGCTCACCTTGTCAGCCACGGCTCCGGTGAAGGTCTTGGAGCCGAACTGAGCATCCCATCCAGTGCTCATGTTTCTGGCGCTCATGTGCTGGACGCGGGATGCTGCGCGCAACGCAAGCGCCATGGCAGATCGGCTGACACGTGGAATCGCCATGATGCCTTCTTCCACACTCGCCGCGGCAGAGCTAATATACCCCTTCTTTCCCCACCCTCTCCATGACTACATACGCCACATACCCCTATCACCCCCCTTAATCCCTGTCTTACCACCCACTCAGATACACAAGAAAAGATGGTAACCCCCTCCCTTGTCACCCCCACCCCCCAATGATTTATTTTCTCTTTGCTGCTCACCACCCTACCCTCCCTTTGTCCCCTTTACTACCCCAGTGAACAGCAACCGTCCCCCGAAGCTGTACCCGAAACGCCCACCCCCATGTCCATGGTACTCGATGCCTCGGTACAAAACATACCCCCACTACCCCCCGTTTGTGCTGCCCTGCTTTACTGGGTCTATACACCAACCCCAAAGAAACGTTACCACCCCTCCTAGTACCCCCACCCATATCTTCAATTCCAGCAAAGAATGGTTGTGACTAGGACCCCACCCTGATCACCCAGTACCCCCCCGTTGACTTAATTTCACCCTCCGTTCCGTTTGAAAGGTGACACCTGCTACCAGTCCTGACATTCCTCAGGTTAACCCCCACCCCCCCCTTCGCTATTGTACCCCACGTCTGGGAAACTCCAATGAAGCTTCTTGCACAGGTGGTCGATCGACCAGGCATACGATTTACCCCTACCCCCTTAATTCCAGTTCTTACAATGGGTGTAAAGAGCCTTTTATATTACTCTCGCCTTGTCGTTCGCTTTCAAATGGTTGTCCCGTAGGACCTCATACAGTCTTTTATTATTAGTAGTTTCATGACAAGGGTACAACTAACTGAAACCCAAGGGGTAGGTGGTATCATAATGTTGAAAGCTGAAGGGGTGGTAATTCAAGGAGAACTTCACATTGGTGGGTGGGGGTGGTCCCTGTCATCGGGAAGGGGAAAGTTGTGTAGATGGCCGCCCAAGCCGAAGGGGTACAATTTGTGTTGAAGGGGTACGGAGAGGGTAAGTGAGGTGGGGTAGGTCTGCTTGGGGTTACGTGTGGTACGTGAGGTGGTCATCAAGGGCAACGTGTAGGTGGGGTACACATGGGGAGGGGTTCAAGGATGGAGGGACGCATTGGTACGTATTTCAGATCGTAGAGGAATAGAGAAGATTTCGACCTTGAGTACGATCAGTGAGGGGGGAGGACTAGATACCCCACCCCGTGACTTATGTCGGCAACTTTGGAAGAATATGGGGTAGTCTTTCTTACGATTGGGGCAAGGGGGGGTTGGGGGTGGTCAAGAAAGAGTCGGGGGTTCCATCGGACATTGGCTCTTGGACCCCCATTTTCACAGGAGAACGTGGGGGACCTGGTGTTTGAGTAAATACCTGGTAGGCAGCCTTTCACCATCGGGTTACTTGGCTCCGGGGCCCGGGACTGAGGGGTGATGAGGTTTCTAAAGGCAGCAGACTTGTGGGCATGAGAATCTAGAGGAGGAGAGGAGGAGAAGAGAGAAGAGAAGAAGATACGAGAGAAGAGGATTGGAGAATAGGCCTGATTTCTGCTCTCTTTGCTGAGACATTCCTGCTGAGACGGGGGGGGGTTGCATGAAGTCACATACTGGCAGGCATGGTATGAAGTCTCGTTGGTACGTCGTTGGTGCACACTAGTCAAGGACATAGCGATCCGGAAGGATGTCATACAGTGACCAGATTTGCAACAATTTGCAACAAGTAAGAGTCTTCAAGGACTCAAATGGTTCAGCTGTTACTTCCATCGACTTCTCAAAAGATGGGAGATTTCTTGTTTCAGGGAGCAACGATTCCGGTCTGAGGTTGTACGATGCCGTTGAAACTGGTAGCCTGATGAAAACTCTGTATGCCAAGAAACTTGGAATCGCACATGTTCGGTTCACACATGCAAACTCTGCGGTGCTCTGCGCATCCAGCAACAGAATGGACCATTCGATTCGGTATTGGTCCATGCACGACAATCGCTACCTGCGGCACTACAAGGGGCATCGGCAGCCCGTGATAGGGCTTCATGTATCGCCTGCTGGGGATACGTTCTTATCAGCTTCAGCAGATTCTACAGTTCGTCTTTGGGACATTCGATCGGATGCATGCACGGGGATGCTCCGGCTTCCTGTGATGTCCGCAAGGCCCAACGTTGCGTTCGATGACAAGGGGCTTGTGTTTGCTGTGACGATGAATTCTATGATCAACCTCTACTCCACCACAGAATACGACAAGGGTCCCTTCAGCACCTTCAGCACTGATTTGAAGTGCGCCTTCAGCGCCCGTTCAATGAAGTTCAGCTCCGACGGCAAGTACCTCCTACTGGCCGGAGGGAGCGATACGATCGCTGTCGTGGATTCGTTTACAGTGAGTGAGAGAAAGCGTCATCAGATTCGTTGACGCGTCTGGCGCAGGGTAATCATGTCGAGTTTCATCCTTCGGAGCCCTTCGTGGAGATAACCGACGCCTGCATGACACCGGTCGCTCCCTGCGACTCGAGGTTTTGGCGCTGAAACTTTCATGGTCAGGACTGTCGATACATTGTTGCCGGCACCAGCGAGAATAGCAGGCAGTGACTCGCTGCTCCCAGCCTTCCTCGATTGACCTCACTTTCATTGACAGAGAAAATGTAGCGGAGGGCGGCCTGCGGATATGGAAGTTTGTCTTCGATCCGTACGCTTCCTGTCTCCTTAGCTGGAATTGTGACGTCTTTTCCTCGCAGAGATAATCAGAAGGTGCTATCCAACGAGGTCAGTATACAGCCAGACGCGTGTTCCATCTATCAACGTCTCCCCTTCGTGCCTGTGCTCCTACATGCGTTCAGTCATGTGGAGCAGATGCCTTCACGTCTTCTGAACTCTGCGAGCAGGTCATGGTCTGCAAAGACATCCATCAAGGACCTGTCAACTGCGTCGAATGCAGTCCGACTCACCTGCTGATCGCAACCGCCTGCAGTGAGTCTGTCGGGTGCTGCCCTCGTCAATCTCACGCCTTCGCAGAGAACCTCAACTACTGGATGCCTGCAGGTCAGCAGCTCAGAGCTAATTGATTGGTTCTGCTCCTCACAACGGCAAGGGAGCCTCGAAGGGCTTCAGAGCCACCCGGCAAATTAGAATCAGATCAGAAGAACCTCAAGCGGTACCGTCCGCCCGGAGTAACAGCAGCATGGCGATAGGAGAAGTTTAGGCGGTTAATGGTTCAGGTCTCCACCATTCAGTCATAGCTAGGATCAGCCTGGGGCCAGTTCAACTTTTTGATTGCTTTGCTGGCCTGGCCTGAGCGGCAGAATCATGCCATGTGACACTGCCGGCGAGACCGACGAAGCTCAGCTGTGACGGTGGCTAATGGTTTGGCCACCAGCCTGTGACGGTTCCTCTGAGTCTGGCGATGCTATGATTTTACTCTTCACTACACTGGAATTCGTTTTTAATCCAACCTGGCCTGCGGCCGCCTGTTCAACGGTTCACGGTTTGATCCTTGCCCCCCCCCCCCCCGGGCCCGCCGGGCCCCGACCGCCCGGGATCCTGGCACTGTCCGGCCGGGCCCCCTGAGGCTCACATTGGGCCGCCGCTTTCCGAAGGCTTTTAAGGCTTGGAAGTTCCCCCACTGGGCCAAGTTCCGAAGTTCCGAGCCTCTTCCAAGCCTCCCGGCTCCGGAGGGCCCGTGGCACGGCACGGACGCCAATCATCAGTGCTAACCGTTTAATGAAACTTGCGGCAATTTGAAAGCTCCCTCAATGGGCGGCCGGCCTCACGCCGGCAGCGGCGGCCACCCGGCGGCAACTCAGTGACTTGCCATGCCACTGGCAGTCCGACAGTACGGTACTGCGGTGAACTTGGAAGGCTCAGACTCGGCTCAGCGGCCCGGGCGCCCCGCCGGGGCCCGGCGCCGCGGGCCCGGCCCGTACGCCGGTCCGATCAGGCTGAGTCGCCCTCCCCCACAGCTCCCCAGGAGCCGCAACTTGAAAATGCAACAGGGCAGGTACGGAAGAGGAGGAGAGGGGAGGGAGAGGGGAGGGAGACAAGAGGGAAAGGAAGAGAAGGAGGGAAATGTTACGAGAAAAGTTGAGGGAAGGAAGTTTGAAAGAATGCAGAATGGGCGACTGTAACACAAGGAAGAAGGAAGGACGTTCGGAGAGCAATAAGATGCATCCAGAGGTCGTAGAAACACATGGAGGCACACTGAAACTTGACGGACCGAGGACGATCTTCTAACGCCTTTCTTTGGTGCTGCAGCAAAGTTCTCGGGCTCATGCGCAGCGGTGAGAGGAGGGAGCTGTCGCTCAAACCCTGTCAAGGAGTCCCACTGATCTTGCTGCCGTCAGGGTCAACGATGATGAGCAAGAACGAGACCTCTCAGGAAGTCTCCTACCATGACTCGGGGTTTCACGTGAGTTGCTCGGGAGCAGACGAGCTGTGGCTCGAGGCCTCTGACGGTGACTGGCAGCTGGGGCAAGTGCTGACCCTCGATGTTTGCAAAGTGGATCATGCTGCAGAGACTTGCTACGACAACCCCCTCCAGAACGTCGAGTTCATGTCGGACAGCGACGTTGTTTCTCCTCTTCCTCCTCCCCTTCCGCTCACATTGTTGGTCAGATCATCCTCGAGAAGGTTGTCTTGAAGCCGGACCAGGAGGGAGGAGATTGCTTCGCCTTTGTGCGAGCAGGTCCTCCTGCTCCTGCTCCTGCTCCTGCTCCTGCTCCTGCTCCTGCTCCTGCTCCTGCTCCTGCTCCTGCTCCTTACTCCGCGGACCCTCACAGTCCTTGCAGGGCCGCGAGCTAAGATCGCCTTCTTGGGTTCCGAGACGAGGATCGGCATAGTGACCTGCGGTGGACTTTGTCCTGGTCTTGTGAGAAGCGGAGGAGGAGGGTAGAGGAGCGGGAGGGAGAGGAGGGAGAGGAGGGAGAGGAGGGAGAGGAGGGAGAGGAGTTGGAGGGAGAGGAGTTGGAGGGAGAGGAGTTGGAGAGTGGAGAGTGACGGGGCGGGCAGAACACCGTCATCCAAGAGATCGTCATGACGGCTAGCAGGCAGTACGGGGTGAAGGAGGGGAACGTGCTGGGGATACGAGGAGGGTTCAAAGGGTTTCTCGATCCCTCGTTGCAGGTAGCAGGACGCGCTCTGACCGCTGCCCTGCTGAAGCCTCTTCCCAGCCTCCTGTGGTCTTGACGCCCTCCTCCGTACGAGATATTCACAACCTGGGAGGGACCATCCTTGGATCGAACAGGTTGCAGAGGATGAAGAGGAAAAGGAGGAGGACGGGGAGGGAGAAGGGGACGGGGAGGGAGAGGAGGGTGAGGAGGAGGGTGAGAAGGGTGAGGAGGGTGAGGAAGAGGGTGAGGAGGGTGAGGAGGATCTGACGAGATTCTGCAGGGGAGGATTCGATTGCGAAAAGATCGTGGATGCGATAGAAAGGTGTCTCAACTGACTTGCGGGGAGGGAGCCTGAGGCAGGGGAGCAGGATCAAGTTGGACCAGCTGTATGTGATCGGGGGGGACGGGACTCACGCGGCCGCGTTGAAGCTCTTGGAGGAGGCGAGAGAGAGGAAACTCAAGGTAAGAGACGCTGGGGGTTTTGAAGCTCAAACGTTATACTGTCGAGCTGTTGTTGAACGCCCTTCCCTTGCACCATATTTCCCTTTTCCCCCTTAGCCCTCTCGCATACTCTTCCCTCTCCTCTTTCTCTTCCATTTAGTCCTCTCGTCACTCCTCCCCTCTTCTCCTCTCCCCTTCGTCCCCTCGTCCTCCCTCGTCTCACTCCCTCCAGGTTTCCATCATTGGCATCCCCAAGACTATCGACAACGACATCTGCGTCATCGATCGCTCCTTCGGCTTTGACACTGCGGTTCCCCTCCCCTGCTGCCCCCCTTCCTTCCTCCCCTCCTTGACACCAGCTGCAGGTCCAGGAGGCCATCAATGCCATCAAAAGCGCAAAGACAGAAGCGCTCTCGACATCCAACGGTGAGAGGAGGAGGAGGAGGAGGAGGGGGAAGCATTGAATCTGCTAGCTCATTCAAGCACTCCACCTCTACTCGCTCTCTCTTGCACCTCAATCCCTCTATCTCAATCCTTCCTTAATCATCTGCTGCTCTCCTGCTCATCACAATCTTATCCTCATGGTAGGTGTTGGGATCGTGAAGCTCATGGGCAGGAGCTCCGGTTACCTCACGGCTCACGCCACGTTTGGCTCACGAGACGTCGACGTCTGTCTCATCCCCGAGATTGACTTCGACCTCGAGGTCTGCTGCTGCTGCTGCTCCTCCTCCTCCTCCTGCTGCTGGTGCTGGTGCTGGTGCTGGTGCTGGTGCTGGTGCTGGTGCTGGTGCTGGTGCTGGTGCTGCTGCCGCTGCTGCTGCTGCTGCTACTGCCACCACCGCCGCCTCGTCTGTGTACCTCGTACCTCGTTCCTACTTCCGTATGCCCACTCGTCCTTCATCTCCTTTTCCTCCCTCCTCCATACACTATCTTGCTCAGCTGGTGTTCAGGGACCCCACGGCCTCTGGTCGCACATCCGCAAGCTGTTGAAGGCTCAGGTAAGCAGGAGGGGGAAAGAGAAAGAATGACGATGAAAGGGGAAGGGAAGGGAAGGGGAAGCAAAGGCATGAGAAGGATGGGGTGGGAGGAAAGTGGGGGAAAGAGAGAAGATGAAGGGGAAGGGGGAAGGTGGGAGGTGAAAGGGAGGAGACAGGGAGGGAGGGGGAGGATGGGTGATTGAGGGGACGGAGACGATTCTGATTCCGCGGGTGCAGGGCCATGCAGTGATTGCGATTGCGGAAGGAACTCAAATTCGATGTGAGTCAGCCGAGCCTTTGCTCTCAAATTTCAATCCTCCTGCTGCTCCTGCTGCTCCTGCTGCTCCTGCTGCTCCTCCTGCTCCTCCTGCTCCTGCTGCTCCTCCTGCTGCTCCTCTTGCCCCTGTCTCTTTCCTACTCCTCCTGCCCGTCCAGCTGCTCCCTCCCTTCCTCTTCCTTCCTTCTTCCCTTGGTTGGTTTTCTTGCTATCCATTGAGATTGACCGAGCAGCCTCCTCCTCCTCCAGCAAGGAAGTCAAAAGTCAGTCAGATGAGTCGGTAGGGATGCAAGGGACCAAGTCAATCAGTGAAGGTTTGTTATCCCATCTCCCCCCCTCCCCTCCACCCCTCCTCCTGCTTGCGCCCCCCCCCCCCCGCCCACCCTCTCCCCCGCTCCCACCGCATCGGCGCTCCTCCCCTCTTCGTCACTTCCTCCCTCTGTTTCTGTTCCTCCTCCTTCTCCTCCTTGACCCCCTGCCTCACGTTTGTGTGCAAAGATGTCGGCAAGTGGTTCCGTGAAGCAGTGAAAGAAGCCATGAAGGTTTGCTGCTGCTGCTGCTGCTGCTGCTGCTGCTGCTTTTTACCCTGACCCCTCAGTGACTCATCGCTTGTTGCAGCATCCTGATCGTGAGAGTGGAGGAGACAACGAGAGCATCGAGATCTCCGTCAAGTACATCGGTGATTCGTCTATCTCCTTCCTGTTTCCTCCTTCCTTGCTATTGTTTCTCCTCCTCCCCCCTTCCTCCCTCCCTCCACCTCCTCCATCTTCACCCTCTGACTCTCTGAGTAGACCCTTCCTACATGGTTCGAAGTGTCCCTGCTAACGTCAGCGACTCCATCTACTGCTCTCTGCTCGGCTCTCAAGTCTCTGACTCCCTCCCTCCTCTTCCTCTCTGCTTCTCAACATCCCCTTGCTTCCGTCCCTCCCTCCTCTGCTCCTTCCTCCCCCCCCCCCCCCTTGCCGCTCCCCTCTCCTCCTTCTCTCTTGTATCCTCACTGGACCCGCAGGGTGTTCACGGAGCCTTCGCGGGTTTCACCGGCTTCACCGTAGGGCTCGTCAACAGCAGGACTGTCTACATCCCCATGCGGGTAATTGACAGACTCACCTGCTGCTGCTGCTGCTGCTGCTGCTGCTGCTGCTGCTGCTGCTGCTGCTGCTGCTGCTGCTGCTGCTGCTGCTGCTGCTTCGTCTTCTTTCTCTATCTTTCTGATCGTTCACCTTCACCTTCAGTTGATCAGCTCTGGCACGAGGCGCCTGAACCCCAAGGGAAGGACTTGGTAAGTCTCTCCCCCCCCCTTCCTCTCCTTCTGACTCGCCACTCCTTGCCACCTCCAGGCAGCGAGTCTGCGCTATCACCCAGCAACCGACTTTCCTTGCCCAGGGCCTCTAATTACGTTAATTAATTTACACCTCGTGCTCCTGCTCTGCTATTCACAACCCCCTGCTTTCAGTTCCGCATCCTTGCCGCGTCAGTCTTCCAGCCTCCTCCAGACACCTACCAGCGAATCTCCTTCACCGTACAAAATGGAAGTTCGCTCTACTCACATGCAGGTCCGGGTTCGCTTGCCGCCCTGCCCCCTTCCCATCCCGCCGCAGCACCAGCCCGACGCCCATTCTCTGACCAGGAGGACGAAAGCGTCCTACCGCACCCTGCGAAGTGATCAGGAGAGGAGGAGAGTAAGAAGTGGGAGGGGAAACAAGGTGAGCAGCAGGCGGGAGCGAATATGAAGGGAGGGGGAGCAAGGAGAGGGAGGGGCAAGGGGACGCAACAAGGATGCGAGAGGAGAGGAGAGGAATGTGGGGGGCAGGCCGCTGGTCTGCGAGCTACCTGGATGTCGTTGTGCGGGTTGCTGAAGGAGGAGACGCTGATGTTTCGCCCTGCCCCCATGTGCAGCATGCTGAGCTGATCCTCCTCCTCCAGATCTCGCTCATCTCCAGCTGAGCATCAGCTCGGGTTCCAGCTGGAAGCAGCTTACCTTCGATCGGACGGGTCAGGTTTGCCCTCTGGAATGTGCTGTTGACGAAGCTGTCGAGCTCGTCCTGTCGCTTCATGCGTGAGTTTCATTTTCTTCTCCTCCCCCTCCTCCCTCCTGCCGAAATTCCACCCGCTCCTTCTTGCTTCCTTCCAGGCTTCCCCCAGCCTCTCCCCTCCCTCCCCCTCCCTCCCTTCCCGCACTCGCTCGCTCCTCTCAGCCTCATCCCCACGGCTTTCACCTGCTTCGTCTTCCAGTCCCCTGCTGCTTCTCCCTCGCTCGACTTGTCGCTGGGGATTCGCCGGACCTCGTCGAAGTAGAGGCCCTGGATCAAGGCCGGGTAAGGGAAGACAAAAGGAGGCAGGGAGAAGGAGATGGAGGGAGGAGGGGAGTGGAGGGAACAGACGGAATTGCACCAGGAGCGATCTGAAGCGTAAGGGAGGGGGGACAGGAGGAAGAAACAATCAGTTGCGGAGTACAGGATGGGGAACCTTGGAGTTAGCAGCTTCTCGCTCCGGAGAACGCAGCCCAATCCCACTGTGATGACGTCAGAGCTAGAGAGAAGCAGCGGAGGGGAAGGAGGAGAGCGGGGAGGTCTCGAGGAGGGCAAAGAAAAGTCGACCTGTCGTCTCTGCTTCCAAATTTCTCGAGCACCTATTGGACTAATCACGTTGAGGAAAGGAGGCAGGAGGGGAGGAAGTTCAAGGCAAAGGAGCACAAGGGGCAATACAAGTCGGGAGCAGGGGCTCGGCGCCGCCACGTTGAACATGTCGTCACCTGGAGCAGCAGCTAAGTCAAGCCAGCAAGGACAGACAGGCTTTCTTGCTTTCACCTCCTCGCTCCGGGTTGAAGAAGTGGAAACTAGCGGGTGATGTACAAGACGCGATGTTCTTCTGTACAAAAGGACACACGTCAGCCGCAACAATCACCCTCCATCTACTCTCGCTCATCTTCATCCAATCCTCTTCTCATGTCTTCTTTCCTTGTTCCTCATCGCCCCCCTTCCCTCCTCCCGCCCTTCTCTACCTTCTTGATCGGGGTGTTGAAGTCTACTGGCCGCCTGCTCGAGCATCACTGGCTGAGGTCGCAAGGCAAACTACGGACCTCGAGTGCCGCGACACTGGTCGATTCTTCCCCATAGCAGCTTCCCGCGGGTTGTAACTGTCCTGCCAAGCTGAGAGGAGGTCAGGGGGCCAGCTGGACTTGCACACCCCGTGGCGGATCATCTCACCACCAGTCTCGCTTTCTCGCGATGAAACTTGAGAGCCGGTCCCCAAGACTTGCTGTTGGGCAGGCGAACGAGGTCAGTTTGACCGCCGCACAACCATCCTCTTCCTCACCTTCTCCCTCACGAGCGAGCTTATCCTCCTCGCAGGCCCTGCCGCAACCTCGTCACGCCCGGCTGACTCCTCAAAAGTCTCAAACCAGGCGGCAGCCCTCTTCCCCGTGCTCTTGCTGCTTGAGACCTCCCGTCCACCTCCCTGGCCTCCACGTCCAAGCAGTCTTCAAACAGATCCCCTCCGTCCGCGTCTCTTCCTGCAGACACATCTGCCATGAGAAGAGATGGCGCAGGCTTTCCAGTGTCAGCCCACCAGTGAGGATGTTGAGCTGTGGAAGTGAGTTTGATATCTCAAGCCGCCTTCGAGTTCTGAAGCCTCACGTCAGACGAGATTGTGCAGGATGGTGAGGGAGGAGAGGCACGAAGAGAAGGAAGGATCAAGACGAGAAGGAGAAAACGACGGGAAGGAAGAGAAGGAGAGGAGGGCAAGGGTGCAGCAAAATCTGACTCGGGTGTTGGAAATCTGTCGGTGACATCTCACCCGGCTTTCGCGTTTCCTTTCATGTTGACATTCTTAGATTTTACGTTCATCTTCTTCAAGTCCGATGCAACATCGTCAACTTCCCCTGCCCGTGACTGATGCTTGGCATCCATCGCCGGCGAGCTGTTGCAGTCTGCTTCAGTGTCCTCCTCCCTTCCCTCCACTCGCTACCTCGTGTAATGCACAGGGGGCATCTCTCCTGAGATCTGAGCAGGTAGCAAGTGAGATAGTGACCCTCCTTCCTCTCCGTCTCCCCACCTGTAGGACATCTGTGTTGGTCCCTCCCTCATGCTTTGTCTCACACCTGCATGCGCAACATCAAATCTTCTCCTTCCTCTTAGACGCCTCTCACCCCGCATGCGCATGTCCTCTATCGTGTGCGTTAGAGGCAGCAGGAGCTGACTGCAGTCTCGAAATGTGTAGCTGGAAGTCAGTTGCCCCCACTGTCGCCCCTCCTCCCCCTGGACCGTCCTGCTGCCCCTCCGAGCTGCGGGCTGACTGGGGCAGCGTGATGTTGAACCTCTTGGCCTTCGCTACCACATCATTGCGAGCCAGGATGTCCCGCGTGTCCGGCCTCCTCTGCGGTGCCTTGATCAAGCAGCGGTTCACCAGGTCCATCAGGTCAGGAGAAAACCGCGACGGCAGCGGCTCTTGCTGCTCCGACAGGATGCGGAGGATGAGGGCCCCCTGGTTGCTCGCCTGGAATGGAAGCCCTCCTCCCGTGCACATCTCGAAGATCACGCATCCCAGCGCCCACACGTCCGACTTGACGTTGTACGGGCTTCCCTCGCACAGCTCAGGGCTCAGGTAGTAGGGCGTCCCCACCATCGTGTGCGCCATCTCCTGGGTGTTGTTAAGCATCCTCGACACCCCAAGGTCTCCGATCTTCGCGTCCCCGTTGGCAGTGATGAAGACATTCGCTGACTTGAGGTCGCGATGCAGCACCTTCTTCTCGTGCATGTGGTTCAGCCCCACCGTTATCTGGAGCGTCCACTTCCAGATCTGAATCTCCTTCATCACCTTTCCCTCTTCGCTCTTGATCCTGTCCGACAAGGTGCCATGCTCTGCCCACTCCATCACAATGTGCAGGATCTCATCATCGAGGAAGGAGTCGTAGTAGCGGATCACGTAAGGATGCTCGAAGGAAGCAAGCAGCTGCACCTCCAGCAGGGCCTGCTCCTCCTCCTCAGGTACCACCGCTGACATGTCGATCTCCTTGACGCAGTAAACTCGGTTGTCCGCTTTCCTGCGTGCCTTGAAGACAACACTGGATGCTCCTCTGCCCACCTAGAGGAAGAACATGGTCAAGTCTACCATGGGGAGGGCGGACACAGGTGCTTCACCTTCCGGAGGAAATCGAAATCATCCCTGGTGGATTGGGGCCTTTGCATGTTCAGCCGATTATCCCAGGGAGCTCAAGGAAATGTATGCGATAGTTTGCTCTCTTCAGCTGGTCTTGTAACAAGAGACAGGTGTGGATATGCATCCAACTTCCTCTATTCTATGCTCTTCTGATCCGCCCAATGGTTGCTCAACAATATTGAGCAGCCGCCTCGCGGGGCTACTCCAACCCTCCGTTGCCATCCCCCCCAATCTAATATCGCCATCCTCCCGTTGTCCACCAAACTTCGCCAGCCAAACCCAAATAGACCTGCAACAACGTCAAAAACGCGAGCAAACTGCTAGCAGGTATGGTTGCAGTGCCAGTATCCCATTCCTCACTGAGATTTTCGTAGGGCAACTGTCTCGGGAACCTTTTCCATCAACGTCTTGATTCCGCACTACATATTTATTCCAATCTGTGCAGATTCTACCGGCATCTCCTTGTCACTTTCAAAATTCTAACACGCATTCGGCTGCTGGCATGACAACATTGAAGCGCTCTGTACAAGAGCACCATATCAGCATGCCACCAACATGCCATCATTATTGTCCTCTCATTCATTGCATGATCTTCTTTGGTCCATCTCTTCCTTCGCCCTCACTACCATCATCACATCCTTCACCTAGTGCCGCCATAACAGTTTTCCCTCAAAATTCCCCACCCTACCTCAATTCCCTGCTGCCACCCTACTTCTGAACCCACCCTCTCCTTTCCTGTTCCACCACCCCACGTCTTTGCCCTCACCACACCCCACCCCTGCTTTTGTACCAAGTTTTCAATCCCCCGGCGTTGCTACCCCACCCCCTCGTTTCCTTCAACCACCCTACAGTCACAAGTACCCCTTCATACTATAAAGGGTACAATTGCTTCATGACGATACCGGTACATTTACCATCCCCACCCCCTACCCTTCACCTCCCTACTGCTGTCCCCCACGACCACCCCCTTGGGACATTACCCCTCCAAACAAGGAAAGTACCCGACCGAGGTCTTTCAAAACCACCCCCTTCATGTACCCCCTCGTTCGCCCCCCTCCTACGATCCCACCCCCTGTACTTTAATAAGGGTAGGTAGGGGTACCTTTTCTACCAATGTCATGTTCCCACCCCCACCCCTAATTTACCTTTTGGACACAGGTGGGGTCACGGGAGCGATGGACCTACCCCACCTCCCCGTTGTCCTAGGCGATAGCGGTGGGGTAGTAAACTTATTGGATCAAGCTCCCCTCAGTTATGCAATTAGTGGATTTGAAAAGACAGCGCCAAATACCAAAACTTGAAGGATCGACGTGACCCGGCCCCGGCCGGGCAGTGAGCCTGGGCCTCGGAGCCTCCCGCCGGACCAGAGTAGCCTCGGCGGCGTCCCTCAGTGTGCCGCCGTCACGGTGATCGGACAGGCCGCATGCCAGCCGCCTGGCCGGGCCCCCGGGCCCCCCGCGCCCGGCGGCGCGCCGGGACGGTCACGGCCGGGTGCGGCCACCGCCGGTAAGGCCGCTTGAAGGCTGCGGCGGGCCCGGCGCCGCCGGGCCGGCGGCCCGGGCCGGCCCTCCCGGGCGGCGCGGCGCGGCCGGCCCGGGACCCGGTCACGGCGCCAGCCTCACTAGCGGCCGGGCCGCCGCATAGCGTTGACATTTTGCTTTTTCTGCTTTGGGCTGTATGTTTTCCCGTGAGGGGGTTGTTCTGCTTTCTATGTGGATTGGGGGGTGGCGTCTCTGAGGATAGAAACAGGGTCCAAATTTCAGGTTTATAACTCTGATGTTGTTTTCCAAAAAGATATTTTAAACTGTATTGTGGAATGGTTGAGTATAAACAGAGAAGAAGGGCTGCACCCCAGAAGTTGCAGTGCGATCATGGGGTCGTCTACTAACTAATTTGTAGAGCCTTCTTATGGTACAGTTTTATAAACAAGTTTGAACGACCTCCCTACACGCCATGAGCCTCCCCTTGTTCGGGGCACGTCGCACCGCTCTGTACTGCCCTAACCATGGCTCGCAAACAGCGAGCCCGCGGCAGCGTGTGCAGACATCAGATGTTCACCGAACATCCTCATGGGAGATTACTGAGGTGTAGAGATGATGATCCTTGAGGAGTGCTTCGTACGGTGCGTGAATCTCACGAAAAATCGTTTGGTGAGCGAAGAGCATCAATAATACAAGTGAAAATCACCATCACAGGGATACGTTGCAATCGAAACCGGGTTGTGAAATACCCTAAGCTATCTGCGATGCATGACAGGGAAACTGAGTTGGAGTAGATGGATGGAGATTACACACAAGACGACAGGGAATCATCATCCGACGGTGACTGGATTGTTCAAAAGCCGTACAGTCACCAGTGAGCTCAAGAACACATGTCTTCACGATGATGGCTGATAGGCTCGCAAGAAATACAGTGCATTTTAGCAGTGAGCTGCTCGATTGCTTGAAACCACGATGATCCACAGCACTATCGAATGATAACAAGCAAGTCCACCGGTTCGTGAAGGATTCTTCATCCGGTTTTCAAGGATGTGTTAGAACGATGAAACATGTTGCAAATCACCAAGGTCTATGCCATTTGATCACATGATGCATCATCTAAATATTACTGGTGTGAACTTGCATCAGATCGTGTGTTCATCAATGAGCCGCTGCCAAGCAGATGATACGGTCACAGCAAACACGAGCACTTTGAAGATGCTGATATTCCAGGCCGTACAGCATTTATGATGTGGATACATGTCACATGCTTCTTGGTTAACACAGAAATACCTTCGCCAGGCAAAAGATGGAACGTCGTCAGGATTACAAGGAGGTCGGTTGTGCTTTTACCCAGATTGACACGCTTGTAATAAAGATATGATCACCTGAATGTGGAATTCTGTTTATTGATTCACAGTGTTTGTGGTTCGTTTACAATCATCGAGTGCTTGCTCTGTTGAACAAGGCACCCCTCTGTAGAGCCAAATGCGACAAGAACTCTACTTTTGCATGGTAGCATTGCGAACTGTCCAAACAAGGCAGGATTGATTCGAAGAACATCTCATTTATTGATATCAGATTCATCTGCACATTGTTTCATTTCTAACTAGGTTTCTGCAGCGTTGTGGAAATGTCATGACAGAGGAAGAAGTTGCAGTGCAGAAAAATCATCCAACGTCATGAAACATGGAAATGCAATTGTCAATGCACTTGATCATGGATATAGTGATTCATGATCAACAACGATGATTCAAAGTCATCTATCCTGGCAGGTAAAGAAATCCTTTGTGAAAACGTCTCTTCATGCATCATTGAACGGTTGAGCATGTAAAGCTTTCTCTATAGAAAAGTGAGGTGCATGAATCCTGACCGTAAGACTAGAAAAATTGAAAGTGAGTGATGACATGAGAACACATATCTAGACAGAAAAGTCGCCTAAGGTACAGCCGAATACAAATTTCTCACAAATCATGCATTTGAGCTCAACGTGCAACCTACAGCAATTTGAAAGAAGGGTGAATCAGAGTTGATTCTGTTCAATGGTGAATCTATCATTAGTTGCTTACCTGTTCATGAAAATTTCATCTTGTCTTCGAAGAATATTTTCAAGTACACTCGCGGATTGTTTGAACCTAGGGTGCATATTCCAGTACACGATGAATGATTCAAACCTTGGCCCCACCTGCAGAGTTGAGAAAGAAGCTCGATCATCTCTAACAGGTATGATATGAGATCTTCATCTCATTCCTATCTCAGTTGGGTTGGATTCGAAGTCTCTCAATATCAAGGTTCATCCTCGCGAGTCAGGAAGGCACCATTTCATCGCCTCTTGCTCGTCCAGGGAGAGGGGGCTTGGGGAATGAGAAAAGGGGGCTACCCCCCACCCCCTATCACAGAGTTTCAAACTCTTTCAAAGGTGGGTAGTTGAGGATGCTCCATACCCACCCCACCCCCCGATGAAAGTCAAACAGAGGGGTTCTCGGAAGTCGAAGTTCCGACCAGTTTGGCCCTCATTTTGTACCATATAAACGCTGCAATATTAAGTTGGTACCACAGATACATCTAAAATTCGTACTTTTACTTTGGTTTGGCGTGGTGAGGTGTCCAAGCAACCAAATTCAAATCACCCTACCCTCCTTTGGCCCTGCGCAGCAACGATTTTTCAAAGAGCGAGTACCCTCCTACACGCCTTCTCAAAGTAGGGTACTCCCACATGGCATGAAATGAAGGGACCCCTCAGGCCCTTCGAAAAAAAAAAATCTTGCCAATTTTTCCTATGAGCGCCCGGCCGGAAAAGCAACCGCGGCTATGGTGAACCGTACGGTCGGTGTGGCCGCACTGACAGTCACATGATCACCGGTCATGGTGACCTGCCGCGGCACCGTGCCACCGTGGCACGGCGTGGCCCGGCCGCCCGGGCCGGCGGGCGACTCGCGAGTCGGCTCCCGGCGAGCCGGGCGCGCCCGGCGCCGCGCGGCCACTCAGTGTGTGTCACCATCGGACCGTTGAACATCGGAACGTGACTCCCGGGCGGGCCGGGCGGCCGCGTGCCCGCCTCCCGGCGCCGGGCCCCCCGGCCCGGGCCCGCGGGGCCCGGGCCCGGCGGCCGGCGCCCGACGGTCACTGGAGCCGCCGATCGGATCCGAATCATCAGAGACCGAAAGGCGACTCGGAAGTTTACCGTACCCCCGGGCCCGCTGGACAGGGACAGCGGCGGGTTCAAGTGAACGGCGGTCCGAGACCGTAGCCGCGTGCCGCGCCCGGTGACTGCCGCTGCCAGCCTGAGCCGCCGCGCCCCGGGCAGTGTCCCGGGGCCCGGGCCGGCGAACTCAGTTACCATGATGGTTTAGTTCGATTGCGATCGAGAAAGAAAATTACGCCCTACCTCGGGGGCTGAGAGAAGGATTTTTCACTGGGGGTACAACACCCATGCCATTTTCAGATATTTCATCGAAAATGTATCCTATTCAACCAAATTGTGCTTTCAAAAACATGGAGTGATTTCAAATAATTCTTACACAATTTCAAATATTGCCACCCCCCCTTCCTACTGCTCATCCGTCACAGTCGCCGCTGCCCTGCAGGCATGGCGAAGGCGGTCTAGAACATTCTTCTGCCTGCTCCTGCCCAACTTGCCCCTCCTCCCTCCTCCTGCGCCTTCTCCTCCTCCTCCTCTCTCTCCCACACTTGTTGCATCATCCCAACCCCGATATCTCTTTCTTATCCTCCTTATAAATACCCTCCTCCATCTACGCCCCCCCCTGATAGGCGGTCGCCCTCGCTGAAGAGGAGAAGGTGGTTACAAGGTGAGAGAAGAGAAGTCGTGATCAATGTCATCTTTCTTTGATTTCGAAGATGTTCGTGTACCATGTATTGTTTCCGCAATGGTGCGACTTGCTTGCACCTCTATCCCTGCTCCTTACATGTCCCCCTTATCTTTATCCCTGTGTTGAATAAGCTGCATCCTAGCATCTTTCCGAGGGCATGGCCTCTGACATGGGGTGCAGGTCTCGTCTGCTGGCAGGAATAGAATAGATATGAGGATCCTATCCGTCCTCTGCCTGCTCGCTGGAGCCGGCATGATACTTTCAGCGTCCGAACCAAGACCCTTTCATGCTGCTCGAATGAGAAGAGGGCGCTTGCTGCATCTCCTGCCGCTTGGACGAACGTTGAACCTTCGTGGAGGCACTGAGACGACAGCTCCCGATGCAGGAGGAGTGCGCCTTGTGAAGCCCCTGGGAGGCTTCCAGAGGACCAACAGCTACTCGTGCCTGAACGATGTCATGCTCACGGGAGAGAAGGCTGGGAAGATCTCAGCAGAGGAAGTGCCTGCTCCCGTCCATGAGGAGGAGGAGGTGGCGCCCACGATCCCCGAGACCCTCCTGCCTGAGGGCGAACGCCTCAACGTCATCATCGTGTCCTCGGAGATCAGCCCCTACTCAAAGTCCGGCGGTCTCGCAGACGTGGCGGACAAGTTGGGAGTGGCGCTGGCGAAGCTCGGTCATCGCGTGATGACGGTAGCGCCCATGTACCGTGCGTATGAGGGGGCCGAGCCGACGGGGGTCAAGCGGACGTTCGGGCTGTGGGACACCGGCCACACGGTTGAGTACTGCCACAAGTACGAGCAGGTTGGCAAGGATAAAGGAGTGGACCACGTGTTTGTGAAGCACGGTTCGTTTGAGCGCAAGGGAATGTATGGTGAAGGCGGGATGGACTATGGAGACAACTTGTTCCGCTTCGCACTGTTCGCATGGGCGTCACTGGAGGCTCCGCTGGTGGTTCCTTGTGGAGGAGTTCCCTACGGGGAGGATGTGGTCTTCCTTGCGAACGACTGGCAGGCTGGTTTCGTGCCCTTGATCTTGTCGAGCCACTACAGGAGGTATAAGGTTTACTCCAAGGCCAGATGCGTTTTCGACATTCACAACATGGGATACCAAGGGCCTTTCCCCAATCCTCCCTACTCTGAGGCTCCTCCTTTCTCCTTCTGCGACTTTGGGTTGCGCGACAACGCGTACTACGACAAGTACTTCTGGGTGTATCCGGAGGAGCAGCGAGCACACGCCTTGGACAAGGGAGAGTCGATCAAGCTGCTCAAGGGAGGCATCGAGATGTCAGACAAGGTCTGCACAGTCGCTCCATCCTACTGCGATGAGATCATGACCCTCGAGGGAGCCTGGGGGATGCATGAAGTCACTCGCTTCCGCTTCTCTGACACCGTCGGGATCCTCAACGGCATCGACATGGACGAGTGGGACCCGAGCAACGACAAGTTCCTCATTCCCAAGGGCATCAGCTTCTCGGCCGCAGAGCCCGCGGGCAAGGCGAAGGCCAAGGAGCTGCTGCAGAGAGAGCTCGGGCTGCAGGTCAGGAAGGACGTCCCGCTCGTGTGCTTCATCGGGCGCCTTGCCCCCCAGAAGGGTGTCGACTTGATCGAAGAGATCTTCCCCTGGCTCATCTCCCGGGACCCCAAGGGCGTCACAGGCGACGTGCAGCTCGTGATGATGGGCAGCGGAGAGGAGAGATATGCCAACTTCCTCCGGAGGGCAGAGGCTGAGAACAAGGGCAAGGTCGTGGGCTACGTCGGGTTCACGTCCGAGTGGGAGCACAAGATCATCGCCGGTGCTGACATCCTCCTGATGCCCTCTCGCTACGAGCCGTGTGGCCTCCCCCAGGTATCTCCTCCTTCCTCCCCTCCTCTCCTCTAGTTCACAAGCTCTCCCTCCTTTATCTCCTTCTTCCTCATTTTGCGAGTTGAGCTGACGCCTCCTAGATGTATGCCCAGCGCTACGGCACCGTCCCAGTGGTGCATGCCACAGGAGGTCTCAAGGTTGGCTCCTCTCTCCCTTCCACGCGTAGCCTGACGGCATTCAGGACTCTGTGATCCAGTACAATCCTTTCCAGGACACAGACACCGGGTAAGGACAGGAGGGAGGGAGGGAGGGAGGGAGATGGGGGGAGGGGCGGGGGAGCTGGAGAGCGGAGCTGGGCAGAAATGGTTACTGATGATGGGGCGTGAAGGTATGGGACTGGATGGAAGTTCGAGAGGGCGGACTCTGCAGGGCTGCAGGTGAGATGTTTCCCTCCCTCTCTCCCTCCCTCCCTCCTTCCTCTGATCTCACCTGTCTCCTTCAGTTTGGCCTCTGGAACGCTCTCAACACATACCGCAACTTCAAGGACAGCTGGAGCAAAATGGTGGTAAGTTTGCAATTTTCGCTTGCTCTCTCTCTCGAGCTGGTATCAATCGCTCGTTTCGCAGGTTCGCTGCATGCAGCAGGACTTCAGCTGGGAGAAGAGCGCCCAGAGGTATGTGGAAGTGTTCAAGCAGGCGAAGCAGTCGCCCCCCTTCATCAACCCTCTCCCGTTTGAGAACTAGAGGGACGGGGAGCAGCAGACTAGTCGATGCTCGTCGGTGAGGGAGGCGTCTTCCTGCCTCCTGGGACTCTGCGAATCTCTCGCGTTTGAATTTTGAGGCCTGAGAAGGAGAGGAGGTCGAGAAACGGAGGATTAGGAGGGGAAGGACGAAGAGGAGAGTACTTTTGAGACTCAGTCACATTAGATTTTCATTGAAAGAAGATTTGTTTTTATCATCTACAAGATTTCAAGACAAAAGAATAACAAGAAACAAACAATACACATCCTTCCCCGCTACTTCTACATCCCCGACCCCATTCCCATCCCCGTGCCCGACAACCACATGTATCCAGGACCTTGTTCCTGATGCTTCACAGTAACCTGTAGCAGAAAATCACAAAATTCTCTCCTCAACCTCCTCCTCCTCCTCACCTGGTTATTGAACACATCTGGCATGCCGGGCAAGGAGTTCACGTTGGGAAAAGGATTCATCATCCCCCCCACCAGCAGGTTGTTCACACTGTGAGTTGGCAGACCGACAGGATTTGGAAGCGAAGCCCCTCCTGCCTGCTGCACAAACCCCCCGGAGAAGGCAGGGAGGCTGCCGTCTCCTGCGAAGGATGCTGCTATGTTGGCCATGTTGAAGAAGGGAGCAGAAGGTTGTATCTCGCATGAGGAGGATGGTGCCGAGTGCATGTAAGAGGAGGAGGAGGCGAAGTCGAGGTGAGGATGAGCATAGCTCGCTGCCTCACTCTCAAACTGCAGCTGAGCCTCGCTGGCGTGATGGAGCATCGGCTGAGACCTTCAAGACCAGCAATCAGTACCTGCCTGGTCCCCTTCCACTCCCACTGCACTACCCACTGCCTTCCCACCTCTACCAATCTCCCCTTCCTTACCTTGACATGGCTCCAATCGGGCTCTCGTGGCTGTAGAAGTTGGTTGTGCTGGGAGAAGGACGTGAGTCTACTGCGGGGGGAAGGGGCAGAGCTCGCCCTCACCTTGTTGAGTTCATCGGAGGATGCAGGTCCTCCGGAGCTGAAAACGGGGGGTTCTGGTGATGGGCAAAGTTGGACTGATTGGCACGCAGCCCGTTGGCCAGGCTGACGAGGTGAGCGAAGCGGCTGTCAATGATGGAAGCGAGTTTGTCGAGCTTCTTCTTGCCGTTGGGGGTCCTGCATCGACGTCAGTCAGGAGGAGGGAGAAGGAGGAGGAAATAGCATCTCCTACCTGCACAGCGTGTGGATGCTCTCCTTCTGAGCGAGGGTGCCGTCCTCGATCAGTTGGATCCCGCTCTTGGGCTCATCGTCCAGCGCCTTCATCATGGGCTCGCACAAGTCGGGGGCCTGGAGGAGAGCGCGGTCGTACTCCTCCGCGCTGATGGGGGCGAAGGACATGGCGACTTTGCAGACTCTGCCAGCTGAGTCGTAGAGCTTCTTCGTCGTCGAGCGCACCAGAACGCCCTCCTTGTGGCCCTGCTTGAACAGGTTCTTGGAGAACCGCAGGTAGTGGACTACTGTCGGGTTGCTCATGCACAGCAGGTCTTCCAGGATCATGCACAGGTATCGCAAGTCTGTTGTTGGAATCCTCCCGTCATTCCCCGCCATCTTCGCGAGCCATTCCTCCCGGCTCAACCCAAAGAAATCGGCCATGACCGCGTTGCAGTTTACGCTAGTCCGCTTTTGCAGGATGGGGTCCCAGGTGAAGCACTGATAGCCCAGGTTCGTCGAGTCCCACCCGCTCGTGTCAGTCGAGAACATGGCGTTTGCACAAGTGTCGTTCATTAGCTGGTGACCTGAAGGGACGTCCATCACGTGGTTCATCGATGCCATGGTCTCCACGGCAGACACAGCGTTTGCGATGGAGGTCTGGAGGGAGCTCGGCATGGCATTGAAGATAGCTTCAAGGTCGTTGGCAACGAAGCTCCACTCCCACACGAGCCGCAGGATCCTCTGAGGTAGCTTGCCGACGTCGGTATCCCTGAACGCAACGTCATTGTAGATGAGCATCACCCCATCCTTCATTGCGATCTGAGAGCTCTCGACCTGCTCTTCCGGCTCAATGGCCGTATCCTGCCCAGAGCAGAAGATTCCTTTCGCAATGCACCTCTTACACGGCCGCGAGTCCTGGCACTTGGCCTTAGCGCTCCTACAAGCATCACACGCCTTCTTGGTAGGATGACGGCTCGACGAGAGCCATCTCCTCATCTTGTAGAGGTTGCCGGGCTTGTTCCAGTACTCTGGATCGAAGGGTTCATCGCTCCTTCTCTTCATGCTGCTTCTGCCCTGTTCGAGTTTTGCTGATTTTCTATATATATGAATGGCACCAACCCGCTCAGGTTCCGCTGTGAGCGAAGAGGGAGTGATGGAGGAATGGAAGGAGAACTGGCAAGGAACGGAGAGAGCGAAGCAGGGAACGGGGAGTGAGAGGAGGGGAGAGTGCGAGGGGAGGGAGAGGGGGGAGGCGACGGGGGAAGGGGGGGAGGGGGGTGGGGGAGGGGGAGGGGGAGGGGGAGGAGATGGGATAGGAACGAGTGAAGGGTGGAGGACGGAGGGAGACGGGAGTCAATTTATTCCAGGCAGGGATTTAACTACCCCCGCATCACCCTACCCACCCTCTCTTCCACCCTCCGGACTCAGCACCCTTCCCATGGGGCCAGTACCTCGAAATTGAGGGATGAGAGCAGGTGGGGTCCATTTTTGGCTGGTATGTTCCTTCATGGTGGGGTAGTCAGTCTCAGGGGTCCTAAATACCCGTCCATTCTCATTGCTCCTCTAAATCGGAGGGGTAAAACAGACCAACTTCATTATTGGGACTTCATGTGGTGGGTACTGACATATGAATGTAAGGGGTATACAAATGAAAGTACCGGTGTATTGATAGAGGTAGGTAGGGGTGGACTACCACCCTACCTTTTATACCTTGATTGTTTCTTTGCTCTCAAAAGTACCGGTCATCCAGAACTCTCCATACTTTTCAGAGGGTGACTTGGGGTACATTCCTCCTATTCTCCCAACGTGATCCTTTACAGGTGGTAGGGGTACCGAGTTGACCGGTGGTGAGGGAATTGAGGACCGGCTGACTCAAGGGAACGGAGGGTGATACATTACTTCCTTTGATAAGTAACTTTTATGTTACAAACTTGGTACCATGAAATATGATATTTGTACTAATATTTTTACTCAACTAAATTATGGTAATATTCGCTAGGTAGTTTTTTTGAGGTGTGTGGGGAAGCCATACTCATATCCCACAGGAATGTTTCGACTCTCATTTGTCTAATGGCGTATAAAATTTGAGGCAAATAATTCAATATGTGAAAATTCAGAGGAATTGCCTTTCAGATTACCAAATTACACCTTGAAAATTAATATTTTTCCGACACTCGTTCGCCATTTAAGAATGGGTCTGTACTCGTTCGGAGTAAACAATCTTGGTCAGCATCGTCATCTTATCATGTTTGAATCTCGAGATTGCAATGCTGGGAACGTGGTAAACTTGGTACTCTGCGGCTGTACAGCAGCACCTGCGACTAACTGATGACATCGCTTGACCTTTTCAGGCTGCAACCCTCTGTTAGAAACAACGAAATAGAGTCTCTTCGTGATTTTGTTCATGAAAATCTCGGTCATCCAGGTGACCCACCGTGGATTCCAGGCGTTTCGCGCTCGTTCCGACCTTCTAAACAGCTCAAGGTGCTAAATACCAGTACCCCTAGTTATTCCCAGGAATAATGGTGGGTACTACCACGGTCAATCTGAAGGAGCCAGCGCCGACTCTTTACCATGTTACGTGATATGATCTCAGAAGTCAACGGTTCAGAACCGGCAAAAACTACTTTAGGCCGCGTGTTGTGAAGAGTTGCTATTTCTTTCGTCAGCACCCCTTCTATCCCTAGTTGCTGTTGAGGGGTTGCGCATCGACGTGCACAAGTAGTAAAGATCTCTTACTATAGAACATCGACTCACTTCTGGAAGGAAATCAAAAACCTCTTCCTCTTTTTACTACATGTCATCGGACTGAGTAACCTTGCGGTATCTGGATGTTCGCTGTCAGCTCCGCAGCGATCCGTTGTGATTTTCAATATTCTCGTGCGTTGTAGATGATGCAGGGATATGGAAGCGACTCTTCTGAGGTCTGGGAAATGTCAGCACTGACCCTACAATGGAGGGTATGGAGTTATGAGTAACGTGATTATAAGCATGACATTTTCCCATTCTGATCGATGGGTAGAGGGTTAGAAAATGGTTTAGATTGGTTTAGACTTGTCTGATCTAAACTAACGGACTTGAGTCTTCGCCGAGTCGTTGAAGGTTGGAATTTGATGCCGAGCAATGGGGAGCAGCAGCAAGGAGAAGGGGGGGAGCGCGGTAGAAAATGCTGGAAATGATGATGTCTAATCATGTCATGGGCGATAGTGGTCATCCTTTCATCTTGTCAACTTGTTTTTGCTCATCTGGTTATGTTCTGATCATGTCCTCTTGTTCCTTGCCCCTGCTGATTTCGTTTGACAGATTCTCTGCTGGCATGTGCTTCAATGCCATTGAAAAGACCCGCATAGACTGATAGTCCAACACTCCACCCTCAAGCCCGTCCTTTCAATGCCCACAGCATGCGAGTGGATGCAGGGCCAGCGTGCGCATCGCAAGGGGAAGAACCGCTTTTGGAAGCAGCAAAAAGTTTGGGGAGGAGGGACGTGGAAGACTAAGGTTGGTTACCAGCCTCCTTCCCAAGGCTGCCCTGGCTCATTTCTCACCCGGGACGGTAGAGCATGGACACCGGGCCCAGGACGATATTCGGAAGGGAACCCGATGGAGAGCAGCGTGCGGTACGATCGTCTCAAGTTCTCTAAGACCCACTCGCTGCTTGACGAACAGAAGAGGAGGTGGCCGGGCGACAGCTGCCCGATGGCTTGGCAGCCTGCGGGAGTGATCGTGAACCCCGCTCGAGGGTTCAGCATGGGCAGTGGGTGCGGGCCAGGAGAGTGCTGGATGAGAGAGGTGGAGAGGAGGAGCAGGATAACCAGCTTCGGCTTCAACTACCGGGACATCGCTCCTGATCTTGTCATCGGCGAGCACGCAAAGACGTCTCGAGCTGGCCCGCAGGGCTCTGTCTTCCATGCTGCTGGTGGGAATGAGAGCTGCGAGGGAGGAAGGGAGGGGGATGGGGGTGGGGAGCGTAAGGGGAAGGAAGCGTGTGGGCTGGGGGTGATCGTGCATGGCAGGGGGAGGGCTCGCTGGAGTTGTTATGCAGCCCGACTGGTATGAGGTGCAGGTGAAAGAGACGCCTGGGCCGGGGCACTACGGCTCGGACTACACGTATAGGTCAGGCAGAAGTGTGAGAGAGAGGGAGATGGGGGCGAAGGGTGAGGGTGAAGGATTGAGAGAAGGGGAAGGGGGCAGGAGGGCGATAAGGGGGAAGGGAGAAGATCGTTGAGCCGTGCATGGCAGCAACATAGGGACGCGAGACAATGCTCTCGCGCGTCTCTCCTCCAAGGAGACTCCGCCCGCCTTTGGTTTCGGTGAGGGAGGCCGTCCGCAAAGAGGAGCGGACGGTGATGTTGCGGCAGGATCGTCAGAAAGGGGAGAGGACTACTCGAAGAGGAGTCATGAGGTCCCGGGCCCGGCCTCCTACCGTCCACAAGCTCTCACGGTGCTGCTGATGGCTCCAGCTTCGAGACCTTCCTTTGTGACTTGTGAGCAGTGGATCGGCGGGCATGGGCAGAACAAGAGCCTTCGGGTCAGAGGTGAGAGGATGTGACGATGCCCTTCCTGCCCCTTATGTCCGGCCACAGGTGGAGCCTTCGGGAAGGAGAACCGCTGGCCCATGCGGAACCAAAGCAGATGAGCAGCGATAGGCCCTGAGGATAGGATCAGGGTCACAGGTTCCGGGTTCAAGTAGGACTTGACTCCGTGGCAGCGAACTAGCCGAACATTGAACCCTGCCATCGCCGGGACGTGAAAGTTGATCCGATCCTGAGATCGGACAGGCCCTGATGGAGCCTGCCCGGCCGCTTTGACTCGCCGACGCAGTCATCCTTATCATGTACTACTGGCTAACGGTTATCACACGAGTGGCATCGTCGCCAGTGAAGCGGGAGGCTTCGCCGCCGGAAGCCTCTGCACTGCCACCGGCCGGGCCGAACCCGTTGGTACGGTCGGCCCGGGTTGCCGCGTACGGTACTAGGCGGTATAAAGTACTACTGTCACCCGTCAGGGCGACGGCCGCCGACTCGGCGCAGTGACCGCAGCCTGTGCCGCGGCCACTGCAAGGCTGCCATGCCACAATCAACTTGGCAATCATCGGTTGCTGACTGAGTTGGCCGCGTGGCAGTGGCTCTCGGAGGGCCCCGGGCCTCAGCGGCACAGGCCTGGCACGGTACCGGGGCGGCCGGTACGGTCCCAGGCCCACCGTCACGGGCGTGACAAACTTGAAAGTTGCCGCCGGGGTACTACCGTATGGTCCGAAGTAGATTAGAGACTCCGACATCTGAAATTATCTGGTACTGATTTTCAAACAAAGCTACCACCCCATATTTCATATCGACTACCCTGTCACTCACACAAAACTTAACCGGTTGCCGTATCCGAAGTTGGCAAACTTGAAACCGGAGCCTCCCGGTGGTCACCGGGTAGGCACCCGGCGGCGGCCCGGGCCACTGGCTTCAACACGGCGGTGACGGTTGAACCGGGGCCCGCCACCCCTTCAGGGGCCACTGGGCCAGCACTGAACCGTCGGCCCGGACGGTCGCTGGGGCCCGGGCCGTGCGGCCGACCGTAACCGGCCCCCCCGGGCCGATTTTTGCTTCGATCTCATACAGCCCGCATCAGTCCCGCACGCGGAGATGGCGGACGTGGCGGCATGCATGAAGAAGGCGGAGGAGGCGGAGGAGAAGATCGCGAGGTGAGGAGGAGGAGGAGGAGGAGGAAACGAAGACGAAGAAGAAGAAGGAGAGAAATACTATGCAAATAAGTTCAGAGGCGATCGGCAGATGTGATTTACTGGAGGATAAGTGGCGGAGAAATGAGGGTGGTGGAGATAATGATGATGATGGTTGTAAAAGTTGCGAGCTATGCACTTAACAGCAGAGATTGAATTGAACATCCCTGCTTTCAACAGAGAAGATGGGTGTTGAAAGAGAGAGGAAGGGAGAGGTTCCAGACAGAATTTCATCGATGGCCTTCATACTATGAAATGTGTGTTGCTCCAAGTGACTCTGGTTACTTGACTTGCAGGCTGAAGGAGACGGTGAAGGAGATCAGTGCGCTGCTAGCAGAAACCAGCTCCAGCGCTCCTTCCCAGGATGAGGGCCCAGCCTTGCAGAAGGTTCAGAAGGAGATGCTGGACAAACTCCGCGTCCTTCGTGCGACGCTGGAAGAAGAAAGGGCGCCCCTGAAGAGGCTGAAGGAGGAGCGGGACCAGGCAAGGCCTCCCTCATGATGACTCATGCTCCCTCTTGCGTGCTGTTGAACCTTTCCGCCTCCCAACGCCTTCTTGCCCTGCGCTAGATCGCCTCATCCCTCCCTCCCCTGACCTTGTGGTTCCTGCTGTGTTGTCCTCGGAGGGGTTTTCACTTCCTCCCCTGACTCTTCTTCTTCCTCAGGCGGTCGAGGGCCACAAGCTGCTGGAGGAGCAGAACGCCAAGATGGCGTACCGCATCAAGCACCTCCTTCGTGCCATCGACCCCTCCTTCGCTGCTTCGGTAGAGGCCTCAAGCGCTCCTGTGGACCTGTCGGTGAGGAAGGGAAGCTGCTTAGCTGGAACGGTGTGGAAGTAGAGGAAGGGTGAGAGAAGGATGGCAAGGAGGAGGATGGTGAACATGCGGCGAACGTTTAATGCACGACAACTTAAGCAGATGATGTTGAAAAGACGAGAGGAGCAGAGCACGCGCTTGTCTCCAGCTCGATCGGAAGAGAAAGAGAGCTATCAGTCTCTTGCCCCTGCGGTCAGTTGCACAGGCGGAGCAGCCACAGCTGCCGGGATGGGAGGGCAGGAGGAGCATAGCTCAAAGAAAAATGAGCAGACGAGATCGGACGAGAAGACACCTCGTCGTTGTCCTCGTCCGCCTTGTGATTGTCTTCATCGTTCATATCCTTGCAAGAAGCTGGCTATCTTGCATGCCTTCATGTCCTCTCGATCTGAAACGGATCGCTGAGTCTGCTGCTTCATGTCATATTGTCTCTGCTGGCTGATTGCTGAGACTCGCTGCTACCCACAGCAGTCGACTTGAGGAAGAACAAAGTCGCGAGGGAGTCTCTGTTTGGCTTCCTGGCAGTCTCGCCCGTTCAATCTCATCCTCCTCCATTCATGCGCGAGGAATTCACTGGTTCCCATCTCTGAGGACCTGCTCCTCTTTCCCGCATCGCCATCACAAACAGGACGAGGCCGTCGGCTCTTCATGTGAGATCGTCTCTTCCAAACCCTCCCGGGTTCTGAGCTGCTTTGAGATTCTTCTCTTCCTTGTCACCTTCAGTAGTAGCGTCCCTGCGACGACTGCGACTGCGACTGCGACTGCGACCCTCGCATGTTCTGTGTCGCCATGTTCTGCGATCGCATGTCGAACCCGTCCTGACTCATGCCCAGGCTCAGCTTGTCTCCGAACTGCTGGCTGAACTGACTCATCCCAGCCTGCGAGTTGTACATCGAGCTGCCCTGCGAAAGAGCCTCCTGCGTCTGCATGTTTCCTCCCCCGTAGAAGTCCATCCTATTGTTGGGGGGGCCTGAGCCTCCGGCGAAGTTCAAGCCAGGAGGAGGGCCATCGAAGGAGTACGGGACAGCTCTCCGGTCATACTCCGGGTCTCTTCCTCCTTCTCGCCTGCCCTCAGCGTTGGGTCCGCCAGCCTCACGTCGATCGTTGTAGAACTTGTGAGGCTTCTGGAACTGCATCATGCTCTGCTTGAGGTTGTTGAGAGGGCCCTCGACCAGGCACTCGTGCTGCTTGAAGTGGCACAGCAGGTTGTTCCACAGGGGCTGCTTGGCAAGGACCTTGGGGTTCCCTAGGATGACAACTCCGTACCTCGCTCGGGTCAGGGCAACGTTGAGGCGCCGGGGGTTGTTGACAAATCCGATGCTCTTGCCCTCGTTGGAGCGAACGCAGGAGAGGATGATGAAATCCTTCTCTCTGCCCTGGAACGCGTCCACACTCGCCACCTCGAGCTCGTTGTAGAGCTGCTTCCTCAAGGATCCGTTCCTCGACATGTACTGCACGATGTAAGCTCTCTGACCCTCGTACGGGGTGATGATGCCGATCTGTTCCGGGACCACTCCTCCTTTCAGGAACCGCGTGACGATCTTCTCAACATTGGAGGCTTCAGTTCGGTTCAGGTAGGAAGTACCCGAGGCTGAGAGCTCCTCGGCGCCGGTCGAGATGTAGAACATCATCGGCTTGGACGCGACAGGCCATGGGAAGTCGATGGCATGCGCGTGTCGCTCGGCGTGAGTGACCCCGTTCTGCAGTGTGCCCTCGTAGAAGGTGTTAGAGGGGAACTCACTCAGAATCGGGTGCATCCTGTACTGAACTTGCAGACGCACTGGCTTCACCCCGAGGTTGACCATCCTCTCGAAGAGCGACTGCTGCAGCCCAGCCTTGGCAGCCTTCTTGCACATCACGACAGGCCCCAGCTGGCAGTGGTCTCCCACGAGCACGAGCTGCTTCGCTCCCATGGCGATGGGGATGAGGCACTCCGGCTCCGTCGCCTGCGTGCACTCGTCGACCAGCACCTTGGTGAAGCGGAACCCGTTGAGCCTCGCGTCTCCTGCTCCGACGCAAGTGGTGCAGATGACGTCAGCAGCCATCAAAAGCTCTCTCTCAGTCGCGCGCTTGAGCTGCTCAGGCTGTCAGCACCTCGACAACCTCACTCAGTGGTCAGGACCTGCTTGTACTTCTTCTCGTCCTGGGTGGACAACTCGCCAAGCTCTTTCTTGAGCTGCTGTAGCTTTCGGAATTCCGCTTTGTCAGACGTGTCCAAGTGTTGCACCTGGTCAAACAATGAGCAACAAAGTAACTGCAGTCCTTCATCTCTAACTTGGTAGTGCAAGGTGAGTTGCTCAACGCTGGAGCCGATTGCTTCCCTGCTCTTCGCACACATGCGGACGACTTTCAGCCCCTGGCACCAGAACTCAGTCCAAGTTCCTATCGTATGACACCTGGCGCCTCACCGTCTTGTGGATCTTCTCAGTCAGGTGATCCACAGCGACGTTACTGGGGGCAGTAACAAGCACCTGCCCATGGCCCATCCGAGAGAGATGGTAGACGATGCAGGCACTGGTGACGGTCTTGCCGGTTCCTGGGGGTCCCTGGATGACAGAGAGAGGTTGCTGCAGAACGCTTTTCACCGCAAACACTTGAGAATGGTTGAGCTCAGGAAGGCCAGGAGCGGAGAATCGATTGGGGAGAGAGCAACGAATTGGTTGCGGCTCCACGTCATGCCCAAGAAGGCGGTGATAGAGATAGCCGGACACTGAAGTCTCGTCCACAGCAAAGGTTCGCATCGCACTCTGCATGCGGTCATAAGTGGTGGACTTCCAGACAAACTCAACGCTGAAGCCATGGGTGGCCTCGATGGGCGCGTTGTTGCCATTCCTGATCTCCAGCGCGACCTCCTCGCTGCTGGGCTTCTCGATGACGTGACCAATGCTGCTCCACTGCTTGAGCCCGTCGTTGAACTTGAGCTTGAGCTCGTCTCCGGGCATCAACCGGATCTCTCCCTCGTCCTTGGCGAACATGAAGTAAGCAATGCGCTTGTTGTTCAGCCCAATGTCCCAATGCACCACCAGGTCCTCCTTGGTCTGCTGCTCCTTCATCTGCTTGTCCGTGTCAGCTTCGTACTTGACCAGTGGGCCGAAGATGTTTTGGTACTGATAGGCGTCCTCAAACTGCATCGGAACTGGTGTCGGCTCATCGTCGATCCCAGGTTCGTCGAGGTCTTCCAGGTTTGCATCTGGCTTGTTCTTCCAGACTTCTTCCAACTTAGAGAGCTGCGTGGCTGTGAGGAGACGAGCTCGCGATTGCTCGAACTGAGAAGGTGGCTTCACCAGCCATGGCAGGAACGACTTGTTGCTATCGATGAGCGGCAGCCACAGCGATAGGTCCCAGTTGCTGTCCTTCATCCCCCCCGCCTGCACGCACTGGCGACAGAGCAGCACAACAACCTGCTCTTGCTTTGCGGGGATGAATCCGAGCATGAAGACGTTTCTTTCTCCACAGTTGTAGCACTCGAGTACGGTCTCGCCAAGAGGGGAATCACGGTGCAAGGAGACCTCCTTCTGCTTTGATCTCACCAGATGGTTGACGATGCAGGAGCCGCTGAACTTGTTCCCTGAGCTGTTACAGAACCACTTCCCTGTCTTGATACATCGAACTACACACGAGGGATTGTGAATCCCACAGTAGGCGCAGGCATGCGCCGGGAGTTCCCTGCTCCCATCCTCGTCATGCAGCGCGTCGTCGTCAAAGGTCTCCTTGAAGTCCAGCTCGACCGTCCCCACATTCCCGTCCTGGTAGTTGCGATTATCCGCGTACGGCTGCTCTGAGTCTCCATCCACTGAGGGTTTGCTTCCGTCGGCTGCCCAGTCCGAGAAAGCGGGCTGCGAACTATCTTGCGACATGCCAGCGAACTCGTTGAAGTTGAACTCCACATCCGCCTCCGTGCCCTGGGTGTGTGAGAACTCGAAGAATTTGAAGTCCTGGCTTGCGTCCTCCTCCTCGTCGAAGAAGGACGCATCGAACTCTTGCGCTTGCGACGTGCTCAGCCCTGTCGTGTCTTGGCTGATCTCCTGCGAAAATGGCAGGCTAGCAGGGTTCGCCATTGTGTCCCTGCAAAACAAGACAGGTTAGCGTGGGCTACCTACAACGCTTGCACGAGGTGTGAGTGTTGATGATAGGGACCAGGAAGCAAGGAGGCACTAGCTGAGAAATTTTGCAGGAAGTTTGATCGACCGCAGGAAATGTGACTTTGGCATCAACTTATCCTAACATGCTGCGCCTTCCTCGTCTATCCTCGACAGCCATAGCTCTGAAAAACTAGCCTCACACGACATATGCTGCCTCGTCGCCTCCCACCTCCTGGATCGTGCTTCCGCTCCCTACCAATCTTTTTGCCCCCCATCATTCTGTTCCCTCCTCCCCTCCCCTCCCTTCCCCATCCCTGGCCCTGCTCTCTTCGCGTCCTCTTCCCCTTCCCCTCTCTCCACCTCGCCTCCTCCTCCTCCTCCTCTCTGCCGCCCCGCCCCCCCTCAAATCGTCCCTGCCATTCCCTCCCGCCATTTCACGAGAGCGGCGGCAGACGCCTGCATCACTTAAAACCCTAAAACTTTAAATTGGTTTTACTTCATCAAAATCTACTTTTATATTTTCATTGTACGATTTTTTTCTCAAATCTTTTCATTGGTACTGTATTACAAAATATTATAGAAAATGATTTTTAATATAAGGAGATAAATTGTATAATGCCAAAAACAAATTTTTAGTCCCCGATTTTGGAAAACGTGTAAAACTGCAATTTGTATACTTAAAATAGTTTTAGAAACATTGAATTGATTTGATGGAATGCATACAACCCTGTTGCATTGGTAGATGAATATTATAGTAATCTGTATGAGATAAATAACTTTATATCGAAATATGATACCATTGCTATCCAGAATAATAGAGAAATAACAATGATAAAAATATTCAATACAAATTAATTGTTTTAATTTGTACCATAGCTACTTGGTATAAAGCTTTATAAAACCGCCACGCACGTCAGGCTTTTCCCCCATGGCGCCAAAAGACCGGAAGGATCGTAGCGGAGGAGCGGGAGCATGGCGGACGGAGAGGGATGGGGAGAAGGATGTGTCTTGTCATATCTAACTGCGATGCTTCGACCACACTGCTCTTGTTGCTTGTACTCGCTGACCCTCCTGTGCTGCCTCCTCTCTTTGATTATCCAGTTTTGATGGGGGTTTACGGGATCGCCTTACTAACGCCCCCCTTTGACCTCATTGCCTTCAGTGTAGCGTGCGATCTCATCCTGAAAGAACACATGCTGCGATCCTCGCAATGTTCTCAACCATGCATCTCTAACTTGCGCGCTTTCATCTTGCTTTTGTTCTGATCTTGTCGCATGCAATGTCACCCACGAGCAACCCTTTCTGCCTGTGCAGCGAGTTTGTTCACCAACACGTTCATACCGACGATGATTCCGACGACGATGATGTCGTTCATGTGAATATTGATGATGCTGAGGGGAGGGAGGGGCGAAGGAAGGAAGCATTGCAGCTATCCCCGCGCATGCTTGCGCCCTATCAAGACTTGCGACGCAGAGACGAACATGGCCACCGAGAGCGATGCACCAGGAGCAGTGACGAAGAGTGGAGCAAAGGTAGGGATGGAACAGCTCTCGTGCTCTTATAACGTCCGCACGCCCTTGCAGAATGCCAAGAGTGACGCGCAGAAGTTCTACAAGAAGCGACCAGACCCTGAGGGGTTGAAGGTGCGGCGTGCGGTGACGTCTGGTGCCAGCTGAGGTCTCCGCTGCCGCAGCTCATTGAAGAGGGCGATGCCGCCATGAAGGAGAATGACTTCGCTAAGGCCAAGGCTCTCTACGACAAGGCAAGGAGCTGAGTGGGGTAAGAGGGGACGGCTCTCAACGGTTATGGCAGGCCACAGAGATCTGCAAGGCTTCTTCGGTGCAGGCAAGCAGCTGGACAGGACACACCTATACAGAGCTAAGAGAGTGTCGTGTCGCTAGGCCGAGAAGCCCAAGAAGGAGCCGAAGCCCGCGGCCGCGGAGAAGACAGAGGAGCCCGAGAAAGTTGTAACAGCCGACTGATGGACTCGAACCCTGACCGCTGCTGTGATGAGCAGACGGGAGCCAACGCCTCTCGCACGCTCCTCTTGTCAGATCCCAAGACGAACTTGCAGGTTCTTTCTTCTCGCTCCTTCGCACCTCCTGCTCATTTCGCTCGTCTTGATGAGCTCCCACATCGCCCTACCCTTTGCTATCTCTTCAGCACCTGTGTCTCACTATTTGCGTGCCCTCCACATGCCTTCCTCTGTCTTGTTCTCTCCTCTTCTTTCATATTCCTCCCTCGATCCGTTCTGTACGCAGCACTTTGTTGGTTTTCATTTTTCCTACAGGCAAAGCCGATGAGGGATGGAGTACCCGAGGAGAAGAACTACGCTCGCAACTCACAGCAAGTTCTTGATGAGCACCTCAAGGTTGCCTCTTCTCCTCTCCTCTCCTGCTTGTGTTCTCTTCTTTTTCAAGCTTTTCTTTTCCTTTTCTCCTTTCCTGCTGCCTCGCCTTTCACCTCTTTTGCTTCTTCTTGTCCCTTATCTCGCTCCCTACATCTTCTCTTTCTCCTTTTCTCATCCATTTCCTCACACTTGGGCTCCTTCTGCAGACCACAGGAGGGAAGTACCTCACCCGCTTTCCCCCTGAGCCCAACGGATACCTTCACATCGGTCACGCCAAGGTGATGAGAGAGTCTTGTTCTCTTTACGTGCGAGGCTGGTGCAAGATGTTGATATGCTCCTCAGGCGATGAACTTTAACTTTGGGCAAGCCAAGATCGCCAAGGGCATGGTTGCTCCTACTCCCACTCCTGCTCCCGCTCCCGCTCCTGCTCCTGCTCCTGCTCCTGCTCCTGCTCCCGCTCCTGCTCCTGCTCCTGCTCCTGCTTCCGCTGTTCGACCTGCTCTTTGTCCTCCTCCTGATATTTCTATCTGCGTCTTCTTTTTGCTCTCATCACAAAGTTGTTCTCATGGTTGTTTGCCAATTGACTCATCGTTGAAGGGGATCGGAGGCGAGACGATCATGCGGTTCGACGACACGAATCCGGAGGCGGAGAAGCAGGTGAAGGGATGAGAGGAGAGAGGAGGAAGAGAAGGGAGAGAAGGGAGGGAGGTGGAGAATAGTAACAGAGATAGAAGTAGAATAACAGGGGGAAAAGATGGTAGCAATAGGGGAATTCTAGACAAGCAAGAAGTCAACACGGAAGGAGGAGGAAGTATGCGCATTTTGTGCTGACGAAAAGGATGCCTTGGTCTAGGAATACATTGACTCCATTCTTGCCAACGTCAAATGGCTCGGAAATAATCCAATCAAAGTTACTTATTCCTCTGGTAGGTTGTCGGCTTTAGAGCACTCGACCCTCCCTCCTACTCTTCCTGTGTCTTTCCTCCTGCCCCTTCCCCCTATCCCGTCCCATCCTTCGCAGTTCCTTGGCCCTCAGCCGCGATCTGTGCTGACTGTTGTCTCAGATTATTTCGACGAGCTCTACCAGTTCGCTCTCCAGCTGATCCGTCAAGGTGATACAGGATGTCTTAGATGTCGCCGACCGTCCTCGTCCTCGTCCTCTGCAACCTCTATCTCCATCTTCTCCTCATCCTTCCTCTCCTTCCCCTTGATGTCTGTTGTCGCTGTAGGGGATGCATATGTCTGCCATCAGACCAAGGATGAGATCAAGGCGAGCAGAGACATCATCCGACAGGTAGTACCCCCTCCTCTCCATTCACTTGCTCGCTCCTTCGAATCCTCTCACTCCTCTCTGCCCCGTTCCATCCTCCCTGTCCTCCTGCTCCTCTCCTCCCCATCCTCCTGCTTCCTCCTCCCCGTTCTCTCTGGGCTGCCATCCTCGTCTCATCTCTCCTTCCTGCAGGCGCACATCGATCACCTCAAAGAGATGCCGGCTGGCGCCTACAGGTGAGCAGGCCCGGCGTTGCCTCCCATGAGAACTTTCATTGCCCCTGCTGCGAGAGGACCCTGAGGTCATCGCAGTCCCTGGCGAGAGACGGGAATGGAGGAGAACCTTGCCAAGTTTGAAAAGATGCGGACCGGACAATACGAGGAGGGCAAAGTATATCTACTCCGTCCTCCCTCCTCCTTCCTTGTCCTCGTCCTTTCATTCTTCCCTTCCTTCCCCGTGGAAACCTTCGCCTGACCCTAGTGTTTCTCCCTTGTTACCTTATCTGCTTCTTGCTTGCACCAATCTCCTCAACGGGTTATGATTTCTAGGCGATGCTTCGTATGAAAGGAGACCTCTGGAGCGACAACCCAGCCATGTGGGATACTGTCTTCTATCGGTGAGAATGGAGGAGAAGATGAAAGAAGTGGAGGAGAAGTGAAGCATGAAAAGCAGAGGAGGCGAGTAGTCGCCGTGCAAGAGCAGATGGAATGAAGGAGGAGTGAGGAGGGATTCATTGGCCGGGGGGGAGAGGGAGAGAATAAAAGGGAGCAATTAACTTGGGACGAGGAACTGACTTTGGAAGACAGCATCAAGTTTTCTCCTCATCCCAAGGCTGGTGATCGAGTAATACAGGAGGAGGAGGAGGAGGAGGAGGAGTGACTTTGAGGAAGTGGTGTATCTACCCGACGTACGATTACACTCACTGCATCGTCGACTCGCTGGAGAACATTTCTCACTCTCTTTGCACACTCGAGTTTGAGACCAGACAGGTACCTATCTCCTCCTGTTCCTCTCCCTCCTCCTCCTCAACTCCATCCCTTGTCCTCCTAATTCACGAATTCCCTTCCCTTTTCATTGTTCGTTCACCTCGTTCTGCATCTTATCCTCGTCATCTTCGTTTCATGTTGTGACGGCCCGATAGGCTGCCGACGGCCCGTACTACTGGCTGCTGCACAAGCTTGGAATCTACAAGGTGAAGGAGGAAGAATGGGAGAAAGAGAGGGAGAGACGGGCAGGAAACAAGCAGAGGAGGAGGATTCGAGCAGTTGTCAACTTTGACATGTCTTTGTTTATCAGCCCGTCACCTGGGAGTACTCTCGCTGCAACATCACTCACAATGTTCTCTCAAAGAGAAAGCTCAATGCTCTGGTTGCCCTATCTCCTTCCCCCTCCCCCCTTGTTCTTCATCCCTGCTTGCTTCTTCTCCTTATCCTGCCCCGCTGACTGTTCTCGCATCTTTATTCGCATCCTTCCTTTTCATCTCATCTTTCCTTCATCTTTCTCGCTTCACTTGTCCTTATTCCTTCACAGGTCACCAAGAAGATCGTCAGCGGCTGGGATGATCCTCGTTTGCTGACCCTAGATGGGTTGAGGAGGAGGTCGTAGCCCCTCCCTCTTCTCCGTCCCTCTTCTCCGTCCCTCTTCTCCCTCCCTCCCTCCCTCCCTCCCTCCCTCTCTCCCTCCCTCCCTCATGCACTCCTTCGTTTCGCATCTTCTTCGCCCGTACCGATTCTCTCCTCACGCTCTTCTCCATCAGAGGATACAGCCCAAGCTCCATCAATGCCTTCTGCGAGCAGATCGGAGTCACGAGATCAGGAACCATCACCACTCAGGTCCTGCTCATCATCATGGATGTCTTCATTCTTCTCTGCATCATCCTCCTCTGCTACACCCTGTTCCCTCAACTCTCTACCTCCTCGTTGTTATCCTGCTCTTCTTTTTCTTCTCCTGCGTTCTCGTTCACACTGGCCTGTTGATAGATGCATGTGCTGGAGAATTGCATCCGAACAGAGTTGGACCTCTCGGCAAGGAGAGTGTTTGCCGTCGTGCGCCCTCTGAAGGTTATCATCATCATCATCACCACCACCACCACCATCTCCACGATATTCATCATCATCATCACCACCAACACCACCACCATCTCCACGATATTCGTCGTCGTCATGTCGTCGTCGTCGTCGTCGTCGTCATCATCATCATCATCATCATCATCATCATCATCATCATCATCATCATCATCGTGGTGGTCATCCGTCTTTTCTCAAATGTTAACGATTTCCTTTTTCAGGTTGAGATCACCAACATGACACAGGAGGAGAAGCTGAAAGTACCAAATCATCCCAAGGTGCCACTCGCTCCCATCTCCCCTCTCCTCCATCCTCCCTCCCCGCTCCTCACTCCTCACTCTTCCATCAGCATCTTCCTCGTATCGTGCTGTCGCTTTTCGTCGCCTCCCTGCCTTCACCTTGTGCATCAGGATCCGTCAATGGGGGAACGCGAGATTCTCTTCTCACGCACCATCTTCATCGAGCGCGATGACTTCCGCCTGCAAGACGATCCCCAGTACTTCGGTCTCGCTCCTAACAAGGATGTTGGTCTGTTGGGAACAGGTGCGGAGGAGGGAAAAGGAGGAGGAGGTAGAGGGGTGAAGGGGAGGAGGGAAGGAGGGAGAAAGAAGATAAGGGAGGGTGAGAAGAAAGGAGGGAGGAGGGTGTAGGAGCAGGGGACGAGATGGAGCATACAAGATGGCGATCTCACTAGGGGGGGCAGGAGTTGTGCTCACGTGCACGGAAGTGGTCAAGGACAGCAAGGTAAGAGGAGCTGTGCAAGGGAAGGAGAGGAAGCGGTGGGGGATGGGAGGGAGAAACAGAGAGGAAGGAGGAACGATTAGGAGAAGAGGTTTGGAAGAAAGAGAGGGAGGACAAGGACGAGGACGAGGAGGACGAGGGAGCGGTGGTGGTGGCGGTGGACGGAAGTGGGAGGGATGGCTGAGGGTTTCCGCTAGGGGAACGTCGAGAAGCTGAAGGCAACTGTACGCCCTCGTGGAGACGCCAAGCCAAAGGGAAACATCCATTGGGTGTCGGAAGGTCAGGAGGAGATGCAGGAGGACTGAGATGAGGGGATAGGATGACGAGGAGGTTTGTGGAGAGGTTGACTTGATCTGCTACAGGAGCTGCAGTCAAGGCTGAGCTTCGCTTGTACAGCAACTTGTTCACCGTCGAGAATCCAAACGTCACTCCTGCAAAATGTTGATCTCCTTTCCCCCCTCCCCCTCTCCCTTCTCTTCACCTCCCTTTGCTCTTCCGTTTCCTTCCCTTATCACTATGTCTCGCCTCCTGCCTTGCGGCGTCGTGGTCCTCCTACTCCTTCCTGTCCTTGTTGTCATCTGCTTCTTCCCTCGTTGCCCCCCCATCATCTTTTCGCCTCCTTCCTCCTCGTACGCTCTCTTGCTTCCTCTTTAACTTTATCGTGCAGCTGCTGCAGCGGCTGAGGAGCCCGTCAAGGTTTTGACCCCCACTGCGCTTCCCTCTCTCCCTCCCTCACCATCGCTGCAGGGAGACGAAGATGTGGAGGACGACGAGGAGGTAGCGGGAGGAGCTGGCTCCTGGCTGGACTACATCAACCAGGGTGAGAGGAGAAGTCACTTCGCTGCTGCTGCTCCCTCACCATGCCTGTCAGACTCTCTCAAGGTGGAGAAAGATGCTCTGGTGGAGCCGTCGCTCCTTGCCTTCGCCTCTCAGCCAGGTGAGAAGAAGGAACAGAGGACAGGGGAGAGCGGGACAGGGGAGGAAAGGAGGGAGATGAATGGAAAGATTAGCAGGAACAGGAGAGCAGAGCAGAAGAGCAGAGCAGAGCAGAGCAGAGCAGAGCAGATGAAAGAGCGTTGAGAAGGGAGTACGACGTCGAGCAGAGAAGGAACGAGCGGGAGGAGGTTGACGCATGTGCAGGCACCTCCTTCCAGTTCCAGCGCGTCGGTTTCTTCGCTGTCGACCTGGACAGCAGCTCGAGCAAGGTTCTGACCTCCCCATTATCCAGCCCAGCTGACTTGTCACAGCTCGTGTTCAACCGTGTGGTTCCTTTGACTGGCCCAAGAGCTATCGTGTAAGGCGGAGGGAACCGCTACCATAGGGGAACAAGTGGAGGAAAGGGAAAGGCAGGAGCGGGAGCAGGAGCGAGAGCGGGAGGGTTGAAAGACTTGCTGTTAATACTCTCGAACTTTATCTCCACTTGCGCGTTACACAAGGGGCTGCAGATTAAGGAAAATGACTAGTTTGACAAGACAGCTGGCCGGCTGGTGGAGAGGGAGGGGTGGGAGGAGGGGGACGTTCTCAGCTCTTCATGATGGTAGAGAAGATGATGTCGTGCATGAACTTGGCCCTCTCGCGCTACATGGCATGACGTTAGAGACCGACTGACAGGGCAGGTAGTAGGAAGACAGAAGAGCAGGCAGCGGCAGAGGCAGCGGCGGCAGAGGCAGCGCGGAGATGAGGAAGTAGTGGACAGGAAGCATATTGGGGGGAGGCGTTTGAGCACCTTTCTCCTTGTCGCCTCAGTGTCTGCTGGTTTTTCTCCCTGAGCACGGCTGTGGAGGGGTGAGGAGGAGCAGGGGACAGCATAAGGCACTAGTTACCTCTTCTTCTCCTCCTCCTTCCCCTCCCTCGCACGTAAGATGATCTCCTTCAGCGCAGAAGCCTAAAAGGTATCATCACAAACCGTTTCGTCCTCCTCCCTCTCCCTCGACCTCTCCGTCTCTCTCTCTCTCTTATCCTCTTCCTCCCTCTCCCCCTGCTTGTCCTTTCATTTGCTTCTCCCTCCTCTCCCTCAAAAGCGCCTCGCTTTCTTCTGAGTTACATCCTCTCCCACCTGGTAAGAGCCTCCATACTTGTCCTTGGAAAACATCTTCGACCCTACGTTTTCATCAGGGTGAGGGAAGCAGGAGGGGGAAGGAGAGGGAGAGCGGGGTAAGGAAGGAAGGACGAAAAAAGCATGGGCGGGAAGGAGGGAACGGGAAAGAGTATGGAGGAGGAGGAGAAGGGAGACCACTGGAGGAGGCGAGGGGCTCAATAGTCAACGAGGTGTTGCTCCTGTACTCGTTGACGAGGCTGGACAGAGAGTCGGACATGGAGCTTCTCGTACTTGTCTGCTGCCTCCGATCAGCACAGTAGCGGCCACGGGAGAGGGAGAGAGAGGGAGGGAGAGGGAGAGCGAGCGAGCGAGCGAGCGAGCGAGAGACAGAGACAGAGAGACAGAGACGGAAACAGAGACAGAGAGCACGAGGGAGGGGGAGGGGGGGGGTTATGCACACATGGGGAGGAGCGCGAGGGGGAGTACGACAGAGAGCATGAGGTTTGCGGGGAGGGGAGGAGCTGTAAACGGAGAGGAGCAGGAACATGGACGCACCGACACTGAATTCCTCTTTCCGGTCCTGAAGATCAGCAGGGGACGATCCATTTGACCGTCGGGAGATCCGTAGGAGTTGTTCGAGTAGCGACCTGAGGTGGCGAACGGTCAGGACAAGGACGATGAGGGAGGAGAACGAGGAGGTGGTGTTGGTGGATAAGGAGGTGGTGGCGGTGGCGGTAGAGAAAGAAGAGGACGAGGACGAGGACGAGGACGATGCGGAGGAGGACAAGGACGAGGACAAGAACAAGGACAAGGACGAGGAAGGAGCAGCAGCAACGGCAACAGCAGCAGAACATCACTCGAGCACTCACCAGGAGAATTATCTTCACAGCGATTATTTCTGTGAGACCTGGATGGAGGCGATTCACAAACAGAGGAACAGAGTCTAACAAGACCTGGATGTGTCCGAGCTCAGAGCTTGAAGTTGTGAATATGCTGGAAAACGCTCGTGAGTGAAACCAAAGGCTGCGGATGAGAACAATGAGGGAGGAGGGGATGAGGGAAAAGGCACTCTTCTTCATGGCTGGTCAAGGAAGTGAATGTCTGGGGCATATGGCCGACGTTTACCATCACATGATTCTTCATTCGATCGCTCCATGCCTGGGCAAAGCGATTGGATCAGGGAATGCTCTTGGATAGAAACCGTTCTCAGAAAGAAATCCACACAGACTCTAACCCATGGACAAATTTGCGATAACAGGTATTTGAACGTCTGGAATGAAACACTAGCAAGGAATACAGAACTCTTGCGTGCGAGCGAAGGTGAGTAAAGGACATGAACAAAACTTCGACCAGTGCAAGGAAATAAGATCCCATGAGGATGCAGATACGTGTCGGATGAGGAACAACAGATAGAACTAAAGAAGAGACAAGGAGATGTGAAGGGATGAAATCTGAGGCGCTAGGAACAAATAGAGTTGAGAGAAACAAGAGAAACTGGAAAGGTGTTAGTTCCATGAGAAGGAAAGTGAGTTGGAGGATGGAGAGCAGCAGCATCAGCAGGGACGAGAAGAACATGAAGATCAAAAGTGACATGGCAAGCATGATCTCATTGCACGCGGCTCCATGCAACAGGTATGGTGGTCGCCCGGTCCTTAGAGAGGAGGGGGGTTTTGGGGGGTGGGGGTGTTGAGGTGTACCGGTAGTTTACAATGATTTAGATATGGAATTATAGGGTGGGGTGCACCGATTGAGACCAAAGGGTAAGTACCGGTGGTCTGATATTCCCAGCAGGGGGTAGTAGAAATTGGGGTAAGTGTATGGGGGTCATGGGGTACTCAAAAGGCCTCAGAGGGGTGGGTTGGAAGTTGCAGGTGGGGGGTACTGCTAAGCGACAGGTTCTTTGGGGTCCCGTCTTGAGTTGATCGAGGGAATAGGAGGGGTTAAGAGTGGGGAAATGGGGGGTGAGGGTCCAGGGCGGAGAATATGGGAACCTATCAGGTAGGGTAGGGTCATGGTGTTAGGTGAAGTTTAAGCTGGGGTGGGTATATCCATGTACCCACAACATTCTCTGAATTGTTCCCTTGAAGTAGGAGGTAGGGTCATGTACCCTACCCGTTTTCTGGTTCAGGGCCGGCACAGGACGCGGGGGGCTAGTAGCAGGCTCCGGCGACCGCACGGCCCGGTAACCGTTGAACTGCCCGGCGGCCCCCCGCCGGTACGAGTCCCGGCGACTCAGTCGCGGCGGCCGGGCGGCGGCGCCTTGCCCTCGTCGTCGGACTCCTCCACGCCGCCAGCGGGTCACCGGCCCCCCTTGCCGCGGGGCGTCCTATCCTAGTACCAGAGAATAGTAGTTTGAACCGTTCGGAAGGCCGGGCGCGGCTGGCACGGTACTGATCACAGTCATGGCCGTGACTTAAGTTTTAGTTTCAAGAGGATTAGTAAGCCTGGTTGGTTCTCAGGCTGGCATTTCTCTCAGAGTCTCGCCGTGCAGCCTTGTATCAGAGTCAGCCTGCCGGGGTGCCGCCCCGGCTGCCGGGCCGACTGAGTTCTCCCGACGGTCGGACGGTCCACCGTTACTGATTTTTGACTTTTAAAAACGGCCTTTGAGTCAACTTTTAGATTTCAAGGTTGACATTTTTTTTCCTGGTGAAGTTTCGTTGACCACTGCTGTCACTGCGATCCGACATGGTGGTGTGAGGTCCGGGATGGGCTGGACGGAGCTGCACGGGGCTGCCGGCGATGGCGACGCGGAAGAGGTGAAGAGGCTGCTCACTAGTGGGCTGGACGTGCACGAGGTGGACAATGGAGGGCTGACAGCGCTACACGTCGCTGCTGAAGAAGGATATGTGGAGGCAGCAAGGCTGTTGTGCTCGCACGGTGCAGACCCCTGCGCAGCGTCAAAGATAGGGCAAGAGACGTGTCTTCACTTTGCGGCTAGCGAAGGGCATCTTCAGTGCGTTGAAGTGCTTGCAAGTCATATGGACAATGTGAATCAGGAATCATGTGAAGGGCTGACTGCGCTGCATGAAGCTGCAAGGCATGATTTCTCCTCTTCGCCGGTTTGCTCCAGCAACAGGCGTCTGAGAGCCATCGCAGGAACGGGTACAAGGACGTCGTCTTGCTCCTCATCGAGAAGAGTGCGAAGGTGAACAAGCAGAGCCACACCGGAAGCACCCCTCTACATCTTGGTGCGATCCCACGGGAGGTGCGTGTGTTCCGCTGACTCCAAGCTCTGTAGCCGTCGAGAATGCTCAGCTGGAAGTAGTATCGATCCTCGTTGCTGCGGGGGCAGACATGAATATACGGGACAGGTATGGCAGAACGAAGGAGGAGACGTATGGTGAGTTAGCGAGTTATCGTCCTGCAGGGACCTCAACACGGCGGCGGATCTGGCGAATACGGAGGAAGTGATGAGAGCCCTGGGAAGCTGGAAGCCAAAGCTGATCATGGCATCGATTCCTTTCCTCTCGATTGTACTCATGACGTTTTACTCTCCTCAGAAACTCCTGGTGGACTTCGTCTCGAGGCTGAAAAACAGAATAGCGAAAGAGACTGGGATGCCTTTGAACGGAGCCACGAAGATCGTGGGTAACTCTCGCTTCAAGAAGCTCTTCTGCCTTGAAGAATTCATGTCCGTGATGGGGCTCACTTCCTAGAGCACTAATCATTGCGCAGAACCTTCCTTGACATCTCCAAATTCAGAGATAAGTCATTGACGGACATCAGCAAGGCTGACGTTGAAGATCGCAGCTGGAGGATCAGGCTCTACGAGGAAGAATGGAACTGGTCCTTGCTCTATGCTCGTCCTCGCCTGATCCTTCCTGACTTTTTTCTCAGTGCCCAAATCCTGACAGACGATCTCGGAGATTCTACCTCCGGTCAGCTTGGAGGCCTTCGCGGGTCCATGGGGAGGAGGTAAGAGATCTCTTCAACTTTCAACATCAGACCTCATGACAGTGGAGCAGGTTTGTGATGCGAGTCGCCAGCGAGCTGGAGGGAGACGGAGAGAACCCAACTTAGCTTGAATACACTGTTAACGGTTCTGCTGTCACTGACCAATTTACCTTCACCCGTTCTTGAACAAGCTGAACAAATTGCGATCCATTTATTCAATACAACAACCCCTGGTACAATCTCAGGGAACTCCCAGAGCCTGGGTTCCTCGATTTTTCACGATATCCGCAACGAAAGGTTCGAAATATCCTCAGCGCCATGTTTCCAACAACAATGGTTCTCCAAAGGAAAGCGAATTCCTGCATTTCATCGTGAGCCACATTATCATAAGCGGTATCATATACCTCTCATTCTGTCAAACCGAAATTCAGCAGAGGTTGGCACTTGAACCTTGTTTGCTAAAAATTCGGCAAACAATTGTTTCCAGTCATTCGGAATAGACATCTCAATGACATTATATCCTCTGCCCACAAGGCAAGTTTGACTTGCAAAAGTTTTGAATGTCTCCATAACTTTGTATTTGAGCATCGGGTGATGAAGAGTGAAAACGTTCTGCAATGTACTTACATTGTGCAACCAGGGATGTCACAGAGATTACCTGCCAGATTTTCGAAGTGACGTTGCAAATCCTCTCCTTGGACCTGTGGTTGTGAACAATCAAGAATGTTGTTGACCAATTGCATATTTACCTGTCATCGAACGACATTCTACCTAAGCTTCCAAGAAGTCGCAACAAAGAAGGGATCATTCGCTTGAAACAATATATCCTGTCCACTATGTGATCCAGCAATATATCGACTCTGTTTGTTTCCCGATCCTGATAATAGGTCAAGATACGTTATTGGTAACAGAACTTCACTACCATGGAAAGTGCCGCGATGTCAGTGATGAGACCCAGAATTGTCGGATCCTTGCAAAGATCATCCACAGCAAGAAACCGTAGGACAAAGCTGAAGGCTTCATCCTGCAGCAGCTCACTTATGAAACATGCTCTTCAAACAAACAAATGTCACCTTTTCTTCAACCAAACTGACACCTGGACTTCCTGCTGTAGATTGAATTCGGAGGATCTCCACAACAAGCGTGCAATGTGCGATCAAGCTACTTCGACAACAGATTGAATTGTTTGATCCAGCTGAATCAGATTGAGTATAAATCATGTTTCGAATTCTGGTCAAAGTAGCGATTATCAATCCGGCAGTAGCCTTTGTGATGCTCTCCTTAATTGTTGGCCAAGTGGAGATGCACTCTCTCGTTGTTTCCATCTGTTCAATGAATAGGAAGATAGCTTTCAATATGAGTAATGCAATCGTGAGGTCCTTCAGTGATCTACATAAGAATGTATGAGTGAATTGCTTGTCAACATACAGCAGAGATCAAACTACCTGAAGACAATTCTCCTGTGAAACATGGACAAGAACCCTTCGTTGCATATTGCAGGAGATTTGAACAACGCTACTGCAAAGAGGTAAGACAGATTCATGGCACTTGTGCCGTAAGATATGTTTTTCTCCGGAAGAGTTTCTTCAAGAAGGAAAAGAATGAGCTTAGCTGAGTTTTGGGCACTTCTTTCATCACCAGAACGGATCAAGAATGCCCATATGTCTCGAGCCATCATCGAAGACATGCTCCCCTTCGACCAAACGATCTGTTGTATGATAGTTAGTTCAGTGACACGTTCCAAATGAGAATGTTTTTGATATACCTCAGAAATCAAACCTTTTTCTGCAGTATGTCTGATATCAGAAGGAGAACCTTTCAGCATTGCAACCATAGAAACAAAGCAGCGAAAGTAAAACCCAACATTCTCTGGATTTTGAGATTCGGTATCCTCATCGCCACAGCTATAAGCCATGCAAGCTTCCATTAGTTGAAAGATATTGCCGGAATTCTTTGCAAGCGTATCTTGAACTGTAGAAGAAAACTTTCCAAAATGAAGCAAAGTTTGCATCAAGAGGTTGCATTGACCAACGATAATACTAGCTTTTTCTTCTGCATTATCTCCAGTAGACGACTCATTCAAATGCAACAATGCCTGCAGCACGGAGGACTGACAAGAAACATTCGACTGTGTGCTAGCAAACAGATTTTCGAGCGCCGCTTCCAGGATGGGTGAGAGTGAATCAGCTATCTCCTTCTTGATATCCTGCGGAATACAGCAATTCACTGCCGGGCTTCCAGCAGATCTCAATTTCGACGCAAGAGTAACAAACTTTGTACTGCATGAGGCAACGCATTGTGGCAAAAAAATGCAGAACTTTGCCAAATGAATCAATATAAAGCGCATCAGCTTCAAAACCTTTCCTGATCGATCTGACTTCAATTCGTCCACCCCTAGTTCATGGAAAGAATTTTCAAGTGCATCTAACATCAGATCTATCAGAGTTGAGCCCCGGAAGTTAGCAGAATATATCACTTTTTCAGTCTGTGATTGTGAGAGAACTTCACTGGATGTTTCAAGAATCCTATCCAAACCTTTGTACGCAGCATTCATCAGCCCCAGTTTCCTTTGCTGCGTGCTGACAAGGCACACATTTACAATGCTGTTGCAAATGGACACAAAAATTTCGGCTTCAGTGCCATCAAATCCGTTGTGCAAGAAAAAACCATTTCTTAGGCATGTCTGTTCAAGGAACGCACATGCTTCTTTCAATATGGCGGTTGCAGTGTTTTGCATCTCCATGACATACGACAATATGTTCTTCCCTTCACTCAACGCCTGTTGAGTCAAAGTCATCATTCGCTATCGTCAATTTACAAGATGAAAAACAATGTAGTACCTCTATGCCCTTGCACAGCCTTCCAAGCAGCGAGATCTCTTCGACACATTTCAGAACCTCATCGGTGAAAGAAGTCCATTGAAATGATGTATTGAGGTCGCTCTCGGCAAATAGACAACGAGAAACCTCATCGAGAAAACCTGTGCTCGCAGCGAATGCCTGTACATGCATAAAACTATTCTCTGCATCCTGCACTTGAACATATTTCTTCAGCTTTTCAGCAAGTCTTTCAAGCATATGGCGATTGATTTGAAAGGTACCTAGGAGAAACGTACTGAAATTCTCAACGAAATTAGGCAGAGAAATGCTGACTAGTTTGAAGATCAAGGTGCAACTAACCATCGCTCTCGCCTGGATTAACAGATCTGAGCCATCCAAGATAGCTTTGAACTGAGACAGCACTTCGTTCCAACTGTCAATCATGTTCTTTGCATTGGCATTTTGGTGTGAGAAATTTCTTGCAGCTATTTGTTCATACATACTTGCTATTGTCTCATCCACATCTGAAAACAGCTCTTCAATCCTTTGTTCGTGGCCTTTCTGAATACTGATGTACAGGTCAACCAGTTTGCTTTTGAGGTTACCAAGGAAATGAGCCATCATGATTGGTTTCTCTGGTAGAGGCAGATCCGAACCTTGGTTCTTCCACTGCACAGAGTTTTCGCTCAAAGTCTCTTCATCTCTGGCCCTCTTCGCCGGAAGGCTCGCCATGTGAGTATCACACTCCATCTCCTCCAGGTTGAACAAAGCGATTCAAACTTCTGAGATCCTCAACATGTCAACACTCACAAGTTGCCGCCAGGTCTCACAGGAGTTCAGCACATGCACATGTTCTGGCATGAGACAATCGCGTTCACCCATACCCCGTCACCCCATCAAGCAACGACGGCGCGAGGCTCGCCATGGACGGCGGAGCAGCTTTTGCGCGGGAAACGTGACCCCCACAAACCATTAGGTTTTACTCAACTCCGACACGCCTTTTTGAAAAACTCCGAAGCTGGCGTGTAGAATTCTCTTCTGCCTTACAGGCGACGATTGTCAGCAACGGAAATAGTTGAAGCGCCTTTTATGCGAAAAGATGTAGTTTCAAGGCGTCAAGAAGACTTTCAAAAAGTGGTCCATATCTTGAAAATTTACCCTGAAATAATGGAGTTCTAGGGTAATTTTCCACCTAGTCTGAAACTTCAGTACCGGTCCATTTGTATGATAGTTGATGGGGTGGAAACTTGAGATCTGAAAAGGAACGTCGTTTCGAAATGCTGACACGCGAAATGGTCTGTTTTGGAACACAAAGGAGTCCTTAGATGCAGCTACCCTACCCCCCCTGACTATTGAGGAGATATGATACCTGATTACCCCTTTATTTTCTCTTCCAAGAACCCCTTCAAAGTACCCCACCGTCAGGTCGCCGGCACTGTTCCTGTAAGGGTCCGCCTCCGTTCTCCCCCCCCCCGTCCTCCTCCCTTCCACAGCCTTTTCTTCCTCCCCTCTGCACCTGCCTGCACTGAATTCGCCTCCTCTCCCCCTCCCACCAACGCTAGCTTCTCTTACGCCATCCTCATACTCCCTACCTGACAAGTCTCTGTTCCTCCCCTGTGCTCTGCTTGAACCTTTGCATTCGTTTCGCTTACCTGCTCCCGCTGTTTCCACTGATATCGTTTGTGCACATAAACTCCTTCAAAAGCATGCAGTCCGGTCACTTCTCTAAGACTATGCCGAACCTTCGATCAAATCCCGAGCCCTTTGCTGGTGATGACCACTATCGGCCGAGCAACGACATATTCGAGGAATGCTGTTGTGGAAACAGTATCTCGCCGTCGTCCACCAGCTCGAAACAATCGACTCTGTCCCTATCGCCAACAGCTCACTTCGCACCCTCTGGGATATTTCTGATTGACGAGAAATCAAGGATGAAGGACGCGATGAACGGCGACGTCATCATGACCGAGCTGCCTACCTTGATTGAGGAGGAATCCCCGTTGTCAAGCACTCAGAATCAGACTAGTCCGAGGAATTTCTTGTCCACTGCATCGTTCCAACGAAGCATGAAGGTGACCGCCAAGGAGTTCAGCAAGATATCAACATGCGCCCCGCCACCAACTAAGTACAGAAGAAGCGCAAAGGACAAGCGGAACAGGAGCTGCTCTACTTCGAGGAGAGTCTTCAATGCGATGCAAGGTTTCAACATCTCGATGACTCTGTCGAAGCAGAGGAAAGATATGTTCAAGCGAACCACATCCATGCCTTAGACGTTTCTGAGCACATTGTTATTATTGCATCTTCATTTTCTCTGCGAGCTTATTTCTATTGTCGTCTGTATGTGAGTCTGTACTTTCAGTAAATTCTCAATGAAGCTCAGAAGGCTCCGCCGCCTCATCTCCTTCCACATAATCCGAAACCTCCGATGAGCTTGCGTCCTCACTCGAGCTGCCATCATAACGAGTCATCTTTGATTGCACAAGAGCACAGGACACGCTTGCCTTAGCAACGGCGCTCCTCTCGTCGTTTTCCTGTAAAGACATCGTCATGGTTGGGTTTGGACAAGGGCTAGGAGCTCTCACCTGTTTATCATAGAGATCTCATCTTCGCTCGCGTCACCTGACTCTTCATCCGCAGAGAATTCCTGGAGGAGGGAAGCATCAGTGCTGTGCCGAGCCAGGAGGGTAGTCGAACCATATCTTCAACCGCCTTCATCGTCTCCTTGAGCTCCTCTTGTAACCTGCCGCACAGCATTCACATGAATCATACAAGGGCCCAAGCGCTCACCGCTCCTCCACAGCAAATTTGGTGCTTTCTGTGATCCTCGTGTTGCCCGTGTAGAGCCTCATGCGTGGAAAGCGGAGCAGGAGTCTAAGGAGGAAATATCAGGACACATGACAGCCCTGGCAAACGGCCTGACTTATAAATGTTTTCTTCGCTGGCGTCAGTGATGTCATTTCTGCTCAGGTACAGCTCTATCATATTGCAGGAGCGGGACATCAAAGTCGTTGTCAAGACTTCCAATCCTGCATCGCTGACCGAGCAGCCTTGCAAGTCCAGCTTACTGTCACAGGGAGATCAGAAGCAACAGGCTTCAGTGCATCACCAACCTTATTCTGTCGTTGGTTCTCAGCATCTCGCAAAGGACTAGAATTCCTTCATCTCCAATCTGGCAGCCGTCCAGATCTATCTTAGTGAAGACATTGTTCGTTGCCAGCACTTCGCAGAGGACTTTCACCCCCTCCACTGTGATCATCCCTAGCTGCCCCGAAATCTTGGCTGACCTGCATGTGAAAACGATCAACATCGCGCCACGAGCTGACTATTCAGCTGACCCGTAGTGGTTGGGGTCCAGATTATCCAGGGCTGCCAACTTCTTCTTGAACTTTGCGCCGTTGAGTTTTGCTGGGAAGTTCAATTGTACCATCCCCTTCCCTTGAATGCCCTCACGATCGGATCCTTTGTAACCTGTGAACCAGGTCCCGTTTGACCCGCAGCTCTTTCGCTTGCTCAGCTTCTCTTCCTCTTTGCTGGCAGAGTCATGTTTCCGGCCTTGTTTTCCTCTCTTGGTTGATGAGTTATGATTTCCTTTCTTCGACCGGCGGATGAATGCTGCATCGACGTTTTCTTCGCAGTCTCCATCGTTGTAAAGTACACAGTATTTCCCATTAGCTTGCACACTCTGTATCCTACCTTTGTACCACCGCTTCTGACCTTCATTTGCATGCCATAGAGCCTTGATTTTCTGCCCTACTTTGAATGAATTCGGATATATTTCACAGTTTGACTTGGCCAGCATTTTCTGTCGGCGCTGCTCTAGAGTCAGGTCCTCGTCTGAGTCCTGGGGATCTTCAACAACTTGCCGTGACTTCACATTTCCTTCAAAATCATCAGACTCGTCATCCTCTGAAAAAACGTTCTTCGATAATCGTTTCCCCTCCCCATGGCCAGAGTTTGCCATCTCCTTGTTTGCAGCTGGTGTGAAATGCGACAGGAAGATCACAGGGCAATCATCGCTGCTTTCAGCTGTATCATGTCCTTTCAAATGCTGTCCAGGAGTAGCATCCTTTGCTTCATCGTCATCGCATGATTGTATTTCCTGAGATTCAAGCCTCGACACTGACCAATCTCTGTTTGACAAGAAAAAGTTATGAGAGGGTTTGCCGCTCGAATGGCAAAGGTTGACCTGATACATTGTTGCAGCACAGTCTCATCAATCACTTCATTGGAACATTTCCAAGTCTCGCCATCTGACCAAGTAATCTCTCTACAAGAACCTCCTTTCTTGACAAGTTTCCTGAGCAAATTCGAGCCAATCAGGATATGCGTACATTCCGGAGCAGCCGAGGCATGCACGTTCGCCCCGCACAGCAGAGTCTGTTTCATGCATCAGCAACTTTATCCCATGTATCTCCCAATCAAACTCTCACAGTCGCTAGAATCAGTTGTAGATCGAACGAGTCTGTGAATGATTCCTCGGTATGTACACATATGTGGACCTGGGGCAACTTGATCAAAGACATAGCAAGACCTATGAAGCATACTCGCTCCATGCCAGGCACTCCACTAGCGGCCTTGAGAGGCTTGAAGGAAGCAAAAGACTCGAGGGAATGCGCAAACCGGTCGACAACACAGGTGTGCAGCCATATCCGGGTAGCGAATTGCTTGCCTTGTTCCCTTGCCTGACAAGAGCGTCACAAGCAGCTCAACTAGAGCTGGGAGATGAGAGATGCGAATGAACCATAGGTAAAGACATACCCATGATGAGAATATCCCTATCTCCTGGTCCACCTCCTCCTTCCCCGTCTCCCAGTAATCGAAGATCTGCCGAGGTAGGTATCAGCGCGACAGGTCAAAACGGTTCATGTCATCACCACGTGAGTGCATTCTTGCACTTCCTTGGCGATCTTGCCACCGCAAGAAAGGTACTCCTGAGTGAAGCAAGCAACTCAAACCTCGTCGCACTGACCCTCCCCTACCTCAATGTCCCTCTGCGACCCCATGAGCCCGTTGCACTCGGATTCCAGCGGGAGGAGGTACAGGCATGTGCCCCGAGCCCATGAAGGGCTCTCCCAACTTTCTTCATCGCTGTTCACGCTCTCCCACCCGCTGCTGCACGACTCTCCTTCCGTGTCGCTCTGACCTTCTCTCACGGCTTGCAGCTTGTTCCAAGTCTCCCCCTGATCTGAAGGCTCCTCCCTGTTCCGCTTCCTCTTCATCAAGGGTGACTTTCCTCCCCTTCTCCTGTCCGCCGAGGGTGAACCTAGCTCTATCACCCTCTCCCTGTTGTTGCCACAGAGCGGATGCCGAGACAGAAAATCTTTGATCAGTTTGCTCCCTTCTCCACCAAAATCGTTCTCTCTCAGATCCACGTACTCCAAGTCTGGTGAAAGTTCAATCCCCTTCAGGAGCATGGATAGGCTCTTGCTGGTTATCCCGTTCTGACCAAGGTCCAGCCATGTCAGACTGTTCTCGCGCATCAGGAGCGTCCGGCACAGATCCTGGCACCCGTCGTCGCCGATACAGCAGCAGCGGAGGTCAAGGGCCTTGTGCCCGCCAACCTCTGCCATGGAGAGGTAGACAGCCTGGAGCTGTTCCCTGCTGAAGAAGGATCCTCTCAGATCCATCTTCCTCTCCCCCTTCCCCTTCATCAACTTCTCCATCGTCTTCCTCCATTCCGCTCCCTCCACCCCCGCCATGTGGCGCAAGCGCGGGACGGGATGGGAACCGGGGTAGTGGACGAATTCCAAACGGGGTGGGTCCTGAGGCTGTTTGAGAAGGGGTACTCAAGATGAAGGATTGTTCAAAAGGGTGGGTAATAACAGATCAAACAAGGGGTACAAGAGAGGAAACGGGTGGGTAATTGTTTCAAAAATCAGGGTAGGGGGTGTTTTGTTTTTTCTTTTACAGAGGAAACGGGTGGGTAATTGTTTCAAAAATCAGGGTAGGGGGTGTTTTGTTTTTTCTTTTACACAGGTTTACTGTTAGAAAAGGGAGTAGCAGGAGCGGCAGGATGAGCAGGAGCAGAAAGAGGGTAAGCAGAATCAGGAGAGGGTGCACAGAGTCGACACCTGAGCAGGAGCAGAAAGAGGGTAAGCAGAATCAGGAGAGGGTGCACAGAGTCGACACCTGAGATGTTGCCATGTTGGCCAGACGAACAAACGAGAAGGAAAAACGGAAAATGAACATGATTACACAACTTCTATCAGATCAAACTTATCAAACATAGAGGGCTCCGAAAACGATACTGATCACCATTTTGGAGTGTAGGATGACGGGATCATCGCTGATCAAGTTCACACTCAACTACGAGGTCGTTACCTGCTCTAACTTGGAGCGGGGGCTTCTGATCGAAATGCTCAGGTGCTCGACGAGTTTGTGAACTCGACGAAAGCGCTTTTCCAGGAGCATGACAAGAGGTAGGAGCGAGTTGCTTCATGCTCGAGCTCTGACGACTTCGTCTCGTTCAGGATCGCTGTCCTTGAGAAGCAGCAGGTGGGCTCATGGCCTCCCGTACTCGGGCACAGTTTTCATTGATGGCCCGCTGCTTCTAGGTAGCGCTGACAAGTCAGAACCAAGCTCTGCAGAAGCAGCTCAAGGTGATTCGGCAGCGAGGGGTGCCTACTGCATTGACGGGCGATTATGTAGAACAGGGAGGATGAGATAAGAGTTTTGAGAGGGGAATGCAAATCGCTGGCCCAGCAGGTGTACATGAAGCGATCCCTTGCGGTGCCTGTACTGATGGGCATTACTGCCGAGCAGGTCATCGATATGGAGGTGCAGAATCAAGGACTGAGGGAAGAGAACGCGTTGTCCTTCACCAAGATGTATCAGAAGCTGGAGAGCACATGTAAGACAATCATGATGAGAATGATGGAGATGATGATGATGATGATGATGACGATGGAGATGGCGGTGATGGTGGTAGTAGTAGTGTTGGTGGTGATGATGATAGCTACTGTGATGCTTTTGTTGCGATTATGACATGACGTTTCTTGCAGCCACATCTGATGGTTTACAGAAAGAGTTTATGATGTTGAAAGAAGAGTCCGACAATCGTATGCTCATCCTTGAGAACCTTGTAAGGGATTTATTCCTTTGTTCCATTAACACCACCACCAACAACAACACCATCATATCATTCTCCTCCTCCTCCTGCTCCTTCTCATCATCATCATCATCACCACTTCCACCACCACCACCACCACTACCACCATGCTCCTCCTCCTCCTCCACCACCACCTCATCATCATACTCTCTTTTCTTCTTCTTCTTCTTCTTCTTCTTCGTCTTGCTCTCCTCCTCCTCCTCCTCCTCCTCCTCCTCCTCCTCCTCCTCCTCCTCCTCTGCCACCATCATCTTCATTATACTCTCTTCTTCTTCTTCTTCGTCTTCGTCTTGCTCTCCTCCTCCTCCTCCTCATCATCATCATCATCATCACCATCATCATCATCCTTCACTATTCTCTTTCGATGACTCTTGAGCAAGATGCGTGAAATCGGAGGAGACAAGGTGAAGGGCATGATCAACGATATCTCATCTCTCCAGCACGGTGACGTCAGCACATGCTGCCTGCTGCGATGACGCGACACGGCAGACACTGTCGCGCTGTGGAAGGAGAATGCTCGGATGGTGCTGGAGATGGAACACAGGGCCCACCACGATGAGGTAGGAAGGAGAGGAGAGAAAGAGACGGGACGGGACGGGACGGGACGGGAGGAGGGGAGGGGAGAGGAGAAGAAGGGTAAAGGAGAAGAGGAGAGGAGAGGAGAGAACGTGACGTGACGGGAGGGGAGGGGAGGGGAGGGGAGGGGAGAGGAGAAGAAGGGAGAAGAAGGGTGAAGGAGAAGGGGAGGGGAAAGATGAGGGGAAAGGAAATGAGATTGAGTGAAGAAAAGGAGCAGGGTAGAAAGAGATGTGGAAGGGAGGGGAGTGAAGGATTGGAGGGGAGAGAAGAGTCAGGGGAAAAATGTTCTTAAACCTCCCCAGGTGCAAGAAATCCGCAAACAGCTGCGAGAGGTCAAGGTCAGAAGCAATCTTCTTCTCCTCCTCCTCTTCCTCCTCCTCCTAGCTGTCCTTGGTTCGCTCCAACCTTCCTCCTCGTCCTTCTCTACCTGCCCAGGGGCTTCAACTGACGAGGACGACGACAGAGGGAGGTTGAGGTCGTGAGGATCAACAGCGGGGAGGAGGCAGAGCAGGAGAGAAGGAAGGAAATATCGGACCTCAAGGTAAGGGAGCAGGCGTCATGGCCCCAACTTGCTGATCCTCGCTACAGGACTCGTTGTGTAACCTGCTGTCAGAGGCTGAGCTGAGGTCAGGAAGGCTCCTGCTCCTGCTCCTGCTCCTGCTCCTGCTCCTGCTCTTCTTGCTCCTCCTCTTCTTCGTCCTGTTGCTTCTCCTCCGACTCCTCCTCTCATCCCTCCTTACTTCCTCTTCCTGTTCGCTTGACTGGCCTCCCGGCAGCTCCCGGCTGGTCAAGTCTTCGCTTGAGCGAGCAGACGAGGTGAGGGAGAGTGAAGGAGAAGAAGAAGAATGACTTGCTTGCAGCTGAAGATGAAATCAGCAGACACCGACAGAGTGAGTGTCCCATTCTCCTCTCCCCTCCCCTCTCTCCTCCATCATCTTTTGTCTTCCTCTCAACTTTCGTGCGACATTGCAGGTGATTGACAATCTCAAACTTGACATCGGCGAGGTGAGAAGAGAAAACATCATCTCACAAGATCATCTTCATGGCATGTCGTACAAGCATCTTACTCACTTGATCTCCTGCAGCAAGCGAAGAATCTTGTTGAGGCACAGAACCTTGTGCGAGCTCTGCTAGGGGCACAGAAGGTAAAGCAGCAGCAGCAGCAGCAGCAGCAGCAGCAGCAGCAGCAGCAGCAGCAGCAGCAGCAGCAGCAGCAGCAAAAAATAAATGATTTTCTTCGCAGCGCTTTGCTGTGGAGCTCGATGACCTCGGGACGAGTGTACGACAGAAACCAGACGAAACCAGTAACGCCCCACCCCCTCCTCCCTACCCTTCCTCCCCCCCCCCCCCCCTCCCCTCCTCCTTCCTCCTCCTCCTTCTCCTCCTCCCTCCTTTTTTCTTCCTGCTGTGCTGACTGCTCTGATTCAGTGGACCTCGCAATGACTGGGTCCGGCAAGAATATTATGAGGCCTCACTCAGCACAGGTCAGAAATTCTTTCAGATCTCCTCCTCCTCTCCTCTCCTCTCTCCTCCCCCTTCCACTCCTTCCCCAATCTCCCCCGTGTTCCACCCTCATTGTCCCTTCATCACTCGCTTCTATCTTCCCTCCCTCCCTCCCTCCCTCCCTCCCTCCTCCCCTTCAGCTCAGTCCCCCAGCAGGCAGTCACCTTCAACCTCCCTCGCTCGTCCTCCCCGGAGGAGGTAAGAAGTTTGCGGGGCCTTCCTGCTGGGATTGAGCTGGGGATACAGGAGGATAGGCCGAGGACGAGTCTTGGCTTCAGCAACGGCCCGTCGAATCTCATCAGCCATTTTCCCCCCGGTAAGGTCAGGAGACCCAACTCGGCGATGCTGAACCGGCCGACGTCAGGTAGGAGGAGGAGAAGGAAATCGAAGAGGAGGGGGAAGAAGAGGAGGGTGGGTTCAGAGGCGACGAGAAGGGAGGGAGGAGCAGGGAGGAGGGATGGAGGGATGCTGCTGTTTGTATGGTTCTGCCCTGTTGTTTTCTTGGTTTTCCCTCCTCTTTCGTCCCTCCCTCCCCTCTATCCGTCTCCTTGTAATCTCACACTCCTACCAGCTCGATCTACGATGCACATCAGCGAGTTGACGTCAGACGAGAATAAGAACAGGCAAGAATGTCAACAATTTCTCGTCCTCCTCTTTCACCTCCTCTTCCTCCACTACTGCTTCCTGTCTTCCTCCATCGCTTCCTCCTGCTCTATCCCCTAATTCTCTTCTCAACCAGGAGATCTTCACACTCGAATAGATAGTAGGACAGACAACTTAACGCTTCTATCAAGCCGCAACTTGTACAGTAAATTCATAATATTCCTGCACTCCGAAGCAACACAAATGCCCTCTTCCTCCTCCACCCTCGCCTCCCTCCTCTTCCTCTTCCTCCTCCTGCACCTCCTCCTTGCTCGCGACGATGATCTATTTGTTTCATTTCCTTGTCTTCTCTGTGATCCCGCGTCAGGATGCTCTCACCAACAGTTTGGACATCTACTTTCAAGTTTTCAGTTCAAGTTGCACAACAAACATCAACAGACAACAATCTTTACGTATAAATCCTTAAACTACAAGTCGTCTCCCCCTTTCCATCAACAGCTCAACAAAAACCCCTTCCCTCCACTCCTCAAATGCCCCCTCCCCCTTCACCTCTCCCCCCCCTTCTACCCATTCTTCTTCGTCTCCTCCCCCCTCGTCGTCCTCCTCTCTCCCTCCCTCCTTCAAGCAATGTCCACATGACTCTCCCCCGACTCTCCCGCATCAATCGCTCGGCTCCCTGCGCCACCATCGTCACCATCTCCTCCTCTACCCGCGTCATCTCACTTGGAGCGAATGCTACGACGTTGTGGTCGATCGCCCGCCCGCACTGGCGGCAAAACTTCGTCCCGTCCTAACAGACGTCAGCACATGACGTCACCGTCCCCGCCATCTGTACCATCTGGTTGAAGGCAGAGCCGCAGAAGACGCAGTACCTACAGCAGGGTGAGGAGAGGAGAGGAGAGGGGAGGGGAGGGGAGGGGAGGGGAGGGGAGGGGAGGGGAGGGGAGGGAAGAAGAGAGGGGAGGGGAGGGGGCGGGAGGGGGAGGAGGATGGGGACGCACTGGGGGATCAGAGTGTGAAATTCCCTCTCCTTCGAAGAGCTGTCGCTGTGATATGAAAGAATCATCGTCAAGGAAAACGTCTCCTCCTCTCCTTCATCATCATCATCATCATCATCATCATCATCATCATCATCATCATCATCATCATCTTTATCATCATCATCACCATCACCATCACCATCACCATCATCATCATCCTCATCATCATCCTCATCCTCATCCTCATCCTCATCATCATCATCATCATCATCGTCGTCGTCTCCATCTCCGTCTCCATCTTTTTCTCCTTCTCCATCATCATCATCACCACCACCACCACCATCACCATCACCACCACCACCACCACAGTTCAACATCAACAACCTGCATGTCACTGCATCGCTTCCATTCCTAGACGAGATAATCTGTTGCACCCTTGTTTTCTCGCGGTCTCTTTCAGCCAGGAACTGATAGGCCTGCGGAAATCTCACATTTCTCCGTTGACAGCGCGACACCCTTTCCCACCTTCCGCTGTTGGTCTGTGAGGTTGTTCCAATCTCGTTTGCACATCTTCACAATCTCTGCATGACTTGCTCTGCACGCAAAGAATCATCTCCACCGCAACTCCCTCCTCCATCATAGAAGAGCAGCAGGCGGAGGGTAAGCAAGAGGAAGGGCAGGTGGAAGGAGAGGAAAAGCAAGCATCCCATCCCATGCCCCTGCCTCTCTCACGTTGCGTTCTGCAGCTTCAGCTTCGGCGTACTGTTTCGCTCGTAGATGTTGTAGGCTAGATGAGCTAACTTGGACTTGTTCCACTCCTGCTGCTCCCCATCCGCCGACCTGCTCCCGGACAAGCATCAGCGGACAGCACGGCTCGTCAGCAAGACCTCGGCTGGATGGCTGCCCTCACAGCAGCAAGCTCCTCCTTGTATCTCTCCATATCCTTCTTCGCCGCCACTACATAAACCTGCTCTTCGTCTCAGGGGGCAATGGTGGAGATCGTTTCCCCCAGCTCACCTTCTGCTGACTGGCAGGGAGGCTCTCGAACAGGTGCATGACGCCCTGGGCGAGCTGCTTCGACGTCCAGGATTGGTTAGGAGGGTGTCGTATCCTGTCCTGCAACGTCGCAGACGTCAGGGCGGACGAGCAAGGGAGGGAGATGGTCGAGAATTACCTTGACCTCCTTGAGAAACTTCACAGCTGCAGCCTCTGGACGGAGGGGAGCCTTGAGCCCTGTGGGAGTTTTCAGCTTCCCGAGACTCCCCGACAGGTCCGCAATACCTTGAGGCAGATTCATGTACGACAGCGAAGACAGCTCCCGCTTATCCGCTTCTGCCTCCAACCACTCCAGCACTCCGATCTCCGGCGTCGACACCTGCCAGGCCCAGTCAGAATGCTGTCAACGTCTGCAGCTCGCTGCACCGTCTTCTTGCGCTTTGGAGGAGCAGGCACTTCCTCCTTTCCTCCTGGGGCTGCTCCAGCCACTTGTTGCCTCCTCTTGGCTGTCTGGGCCTCAGCTGAAGGAGGAGGGAGGAGAGTCACATCAACGGCAAGAGCAGGAAGCACTGCAGACCAGCAGGGACCGGGGAGTGACCTGCAGCAGGCGGGGGGGCAGGAGAAGCAGCAGCATTCGGCGATGCACTATCTTTGAGCTTGAAGGCTGACTTCATCGTCTCCCGCTGTCTCTTGGCAGACTGTCTCTCTTGCCTCGCCTGCTCATGCACGTCGTGTTAGCTCGCACGCGCATCGGCTGTTAGTAGTGGTAATGGAAGATGAGGAGATGGAGGAGGAGGAGATGGAGATGGAGATAGAGGAGTGCGATTGCCAACTGCAAAGCAAACAGGTGGAGCAAAAACAGAGAGAGACACGTTGACGCTACAAGACAAGCTCGCCTGGGGTTGAGTTGGAGTTGATGGCGCATCTGCTGGCAGAGAGTTGGTACCAGTCTCGCTCATCCTCGGACTCTGGTTGGTCCAAGATCAGGAACGAAAAGAAAGCTTGTTTCGCTCATGGTAAAAAAATTCCCTCCTCTCGATGAAGAGGGAAAGGTGGACAAGCACAACCATGTCCGTCCCATGCAAACTTTGAGATGCCATGATCGTCTCTGGAGCTTGTGCTATCTAGCTCGGAGCATTTAATAGAGTGTGGCTCTCCCCCGATCCGAAACCGTTTCATCCACGTCGTACTTGTCCTCTTCCTCCATCACCCTTTTCCAAAGTCTATCGTGGTTTCCAACGTTCGTCCCTCTCTTCTACGTTACCCCCCAACCTTTCTCTCTTCCGCCCTTACCCCTCCACATCTCCATCCTGTCGTTGCCAGTGGCTTGTATGACTGGTCCCTGCCAGATCGGCAAACCTGTCCATTCCCATACTGCCCCTGTCTCTCCTGCTCCTGCCCCTACACATACTTTCATTCGTGTCCATGTCTCTTAGACATCTCACTGATCTCCCTGGCTCCTTATCCTCTCCCTCCTCCTCCATGCTCCTCCCATCTCTCCCCTCCTGCTTCATAGCAGCAGCGCTCAGCAAGGGTGGATGAGGGTATTGCTGAAATCAAGGGGTAGGGTACTCGTGGTTGTAGGGTAGTGGCCTGCAGGGTAGGTAACTCTGCCGAACAAGTACCCATACTATTGTGGTCAAAAGTTGGGTAGTCTGTGAAGTGCAGCTGAATGAGGTGGTGGGGGTGGTTCACAAACACTCCACAATGGGTTCAGAGGAATGGTTCACCATCTTCTGTGGTACACATTCGTCTATCTGAAGGGCCTGACCTTGCCCGGGATGTCTTTTCGTGAAACTTTGAAACTTTGAAAGTCCTGGAGTCTAAACTTTGAAAAAGTTTTTGAGTTGGAAGTTCGAACTTGTGAAGTTTGCGCGCAAGGATTTCCATGGGAGGTCGATCCAGTGCGAAATCAGCGCGATGGGATGGGGAGGAGGAGAAGGAAGAAGGAAGAAGGCGAGGAGAGGGCTGGAATCATGTCCAGAAGAGAGGAGGTTGCAGGAGAGGAGGAGAGGAAGGGAACCGGTGCGACGTTGTAGATGAACATCAACACGAGGGCAACATAGATTCTCGGATTCAGATAACCGCAAGATCGTCAGCTGCAGGGCAAGAGGATTTCCTTCGAGAATGGTGGTGCCTAAAATAGGGAGGATTCTGACAACACGCGCGTGAGCTGGACATTCTGCTGGTAAGGAGAGAGTGGAGCAATGACTGTCGAGCGCTGACTTGGAGAGCTAGTGAGCAGTCGTAACCTTCTGTCATTGCTGAATAGGAGGAATGTTCTGCTCGCCTCATCGACTGTGAGCAACGATACAATCGTGTTCGTAAGTTCCTTCGCTGCACTTGCCAGAAAGCTCGGCGAGTTGATGCTTTGAGAGCGGATCAAAGCAAGAAGTAGCATCATGAGCTACCGGATAGCTTCTCCTTCGCGCTTGCTAGTCTCATGGGTCCTTCTCAACCTCCTCGCATCATCAGTAGCCCGCAAGCCCCAGGTGAAACTCATCTCCATCCCCTATCGTATTCCTTTCTCCTTCATCTCGTCCTCGTCCTCGTCGTCGCCCTCGTCCTCGTCCTCCTCAACCCATCAATCCATCCTTGTCTTCGTCACCTAGATGTATTTACACGCTTGTGTCTCAGACTCAATTTCCTCCCTCGCTCATGGGTGCGTACTTGCCCATGGACGTGGTTCGCAACGGGACCAACGAGGAAGGAGATGAGAACATCTGCATCGATCACTTCTGCTGGGTCAACACCGTCCCTCATGCCCTCTCCAACATCGTGAAAGCCTTCGTCGATCCCCGGTTGGGCATGGGCTCGGCGAATGAGAGGCACTTCCTGGGCAAGGCCTTCTCCTCCTTCCTCTCTACTGCAGCTGGCAGGATGAAGGGCGAGAGGGGGAGGCAGGGAGGAGGGGACGAGGCTGCTGGGAGGAAGGATTACTTTGCTGTCTTCTCGCTGATGCTCTCCGGGATCTTCAAACCCAAGTTTCCTTTCTCACATGCGATGCTGACGAGAGCAGTTCAGCTGTCTGAGTATTGGATCTACGAGCCGTATCCCAGCTGCCTGCATGTGAGCTTCATTGTGGAGGAGTAGGAGCTGGAGCTGGAGCAGGGCGAGAGCGAGGAGGAGGAGGAGGGGGAAGAGGGGAGGGGGAGCGGGGGGGGCGGAAGGAGGGAGGAGGAGGAGGAGGAGGAAATTGTGATGACGCGCTCCAGGTGAAAGGCCCATGGCATGAGGAGTGGGCGGGGAACTACTCTCTTACATCGGAGACAGATCCCAATGGGAGGGTGGTAAGGGTTGGCGTCTGATGCGAACATGCTGCTGACTTGTCTGGAAGATGTACGAGCAGCGGGGGGACTTTGCAGGTGTGATGTGGAGGAGAGGTGTTATCGAGTCATGTGCGCGCAGAGCATCAGATTTCGTGGTCGGACGGCTGCTGGTTCATGGATGAGCTGAAGGAGCTGGATGAAAACAGGTGGCGGGGAGGGCGAGGGGAGAGAGGAGAAGGGAGGGGAGGAGGGGGGGAGAGAAGAGAGGAGGAATCGAAGGGGAGAAGAATGGAAGAAGAGAGCAAGGGGGAGGAAGGGGAGGGGGAGGGGAGGGGACAGGAGGGGAGATGTCAAGAAAGGGCGGGTAGGCAGAGCAGGAGACCAGAGGAGCAGAAAGGAGGTCAGGTGATCGATTGTTTGCAGCAAACCAGAGGTAGATTCGTCACTTTCTCTCTATGAAGAAACAGAATCCTTCATGGACGGGACCAACATCTCCAGCCTCGAGGACGAGGAGCAGACAGCGCGGGGGGCAGCAGGGTCAAGGGGGGGGCCATCTGCAGGGAGGAAGAAGAAGAACCGAAGACCCAAGGCATTCCAGCGCAAGAGGCTGTACCAGAGCTGCGTCGATACCGACATGGTGCCTTCAAGGTCCGTGTTTCTGACGTTGTGTTGGAGGGAAACCATGTTGTCGACGAGGAGGAACTTCGTATACTGCTGTATCAGACGCTCTTGTTGACCCAGTCTCCGTCCTACGATCTTGTCCAGTCTCTCCCCGTCCTCGTCCTCCACCGTCCCTTGTAGTCCCCGTGCTCGCCTGCTCTGATGCCGCTCCTACTTGTGTCCTTCTTGACTTGAGATGCAGCGGGTGGGTATCGGTGCGAGGGAGGGGCCCCTCCCCCTCTATCTCACAGTGTGACACTTCCAAGACAAGGGCAAAGAAGAAACGTGACTCGCTCGATGCTGCCGGTGATTCTTCTGACCGCGTGCTTGCAGACTTACACAAGTCGGCTGATCCGCACGTGCGGGAGAACTCTCTGCACATTGAAAGCTTTAGAAGGAGGACGGAAGACGACTTGCAATGGGCGCTGCTGACTGAAGACCTTTCAGGTGGAGAGAAGAGGGAGGGGAGGAGAAGGGGGGGAGGTGGGGGAGTGGAAGGGAGGGGAGAGGCGAGGCAAGCAGAGCAGAGCAGAGAAGTGCAGAGCAGAGCAGAGCAGAGCAGAGCAGAGCAGAGCAGAGCAGAAAGTAGCTCACACAAGAAATGGGGGTCGTGTGGAGGATGAGACGGGGGGTTGGGGGGAGAGAGAAGTTAGAGGAGAGAGGGGGGAGTGGAGGACGATGAACTGAGTTTAGCAGATTCAACCAAACATGCAGCGAGGGACTCACGGAGGCGGGAGGAGGCTCTAGACTCCGAGCACGAGTACTCTCAGCTTCAGAACTCCTTGAAACCAGCAGCTTCCTCCCTCATGGACAGGTACCGGCGCATCCTTACATCCAACAAGCTCGTCAAGACGCTGCGGAAAGTTTCAAGGCTCCTGCTCAAGATCGGTTCGCTCCCATTCCGCTTCTTCAAACTTCACCTGCCCTGGCCCTTTGGTCATGATAAAGTTGGTTACCTCGTCTTCCGAGGAACGGCAGACGTCCACGACATCCTCACCGACATTGGGCACTCGCAGGTATCTCCTCCTCCTCAACCCCTTCCTCCCTTTATCATCATCAAGCACCACCACCACCATCACCATCATCATCTCCATCTCCATCTCCATCTCCATCATCGTCCACCACCACCACCACCACGTCCTGCTCCTCCACCTCATCTCCTCTTCTCATCCTCCTCCACTACAACGTTGTCCTAGTCCTCCTCCTCTGTACCACCATTTCTTCCTCGCATGCGAGCTTGCAGCAGGTGTTCTGGTTGAACGAGGAAGGGCCCTCGTGGGGCATCTGGTCGTCAGTGCACACGGAGGTGAGGAGGAGCATCTCGTCCATCCGCGCAGCAGTGAGGAAGGCGAAGATCAAGAAGCTTGTGATTGCCGGTCACAGTCTGGGTGAGGAGGAGGAGGAGGAGGAGGAGGAGGAGCGAGCAAGCGAGCGAAGGAAGGAGAGGGAGGAGGGAGAGTGAAACAGAGGAGGGAGAGAGAGGCGGAGGAACAAGCGAAGGAGTGAGGGGAGCGAGTGGAGGCGAAGGGACTTGGGAGAGAGAGAGAGGAGAGAGAGAGAGGGAGCGCCAGGAGGACGGAGGAGATGACGTTGATCGCAGGAGGGAGCTATGCGCTTGAGGTGGCTCGGCAGCTGCTGTCAGGCGTCGGGCTCAACGTCGACATCTCTGTCATCACCTTCGGCTCTCCCGCAGTGTTTGCTAGGAGGACGGGGGCGAAGCACTGCGGAAAGGATGTATGGCGGAAACCCCCGACCCTTCTTGAGAGCGCTGCTGACTTTGGATGGAAGGTCGATCCTGTTCGCTCCCCCCCTCGCTTCCACTCCTTCCTTTCTACCCTTCCCCAGTCAGGGCAAGAAACCTGCTCACATTCCTGTCCTGTTTCTTCCTCCTTCACCTGCATCGTCTTCCACTCTCAAACACGTCTTTCATGGACCATTCTCCCTCCTCCTCTCCTCATATAGTCACTCGCCTCTCCTCTTTTCCTGCAACCTCCTCCCAACCACACACTCCCCTTCCTCATCCTCCTCCTCCTCCTCCTCCTCCTCCTCCTCCTCCTCCTCCTCCTCCCTCCTTTCTCCCTCCTCCCTCTTCCCTCTTCCTCCTTGCTCCTCCTTCCTTTCCCTCACCGGCATGCAGCTTCTCACAGGCAGGGAGGCCTGCAGACTCAAGGAGGACTCGAGCATGCGGAAGCTTGACGCAAGTGTGGTCAACATCGTCAACCGCTGGGACCTCGTTCCTAGAGCACACCTCCTCCCTCGACTCATGCGACAGGTCAGGGTCCTACACTCTTCCTCTCCCTTGATCTTGCTGCCTCCTCCTCCAATGATCAGAGTCCTCTCTCCTCCCCTCTCCTCCCCTCTCCTCCCCCTCCCCTTCCATCTATCAATCTGTTCCTTCCTCTTCTCCTGCTCAGCTCTTCTCTGTCGCTCTCCATCGCATCCATCCTCCTACCGCCCATCGACTCGCCCTTGCTCCCTCGCTCCCCCATGCTTTCCCTTCCCCTCCATGCACTCCGTCCCTCATGCCCTTCGGCTCGTGCAGAGCAACTCAAAGGAGATCCTGCAAGCTTTCACCAAGCACGTCGCCTCTCGGCTGGGAGGAGGGTACGCGGTGAGCGGAGGGTCTGGCAGCTGCGGTGGAGAGTGACGAGGATGAAGGCGAGGCTGGGGGGATACATCTCAGACGCCCTCGCCCTCCCTCATAGCTTCAATCGCACCATCCAGTCCCGAAGAGAAGCCTTCGAAAGGTTCTTCCCTCCCTCCCCTACAGCCCTCCTCCCTCCCCTACAGCCCTGCTCTCTCCTCTTCCTACCTCTTGCTCAATATTTCCTCCTTGCTCTTCCTCTTTTCTCTTTCCCTCCTCTCTCGAGATTCCTCGCAAGGGTTGTAGCTCATTCTCCTCCTCAGGTACCGCGGGATCGGCATGTTCCTCATCATCCCTCCTGCTCTTCTCTGCGGCTCAGAGCAGGCAGGGCTTGTAACAGCTCCGCCCTCCTCCTCCTCCCTCCTCCCTCCTCCCTCCTCCCTCCTCCCTCATCCTTGTTCTCCCCTGTTTCTTCCTCCCTTCTCTCTCTTCCTCTCTCCTTCTTCTCCACCACTCTTCTCGTTCCTACTCTTCCACTCCTCTCTTCATCCTCCTTTTCCGCGCTCCTCGCTCTCCCCTTCTCCTCACACCTCTCCCTCCTCCTGATCCATCCTTACAGGTGATGGCGACTGTTGAGAGCAACCAGTCCCTGCCTCGACCTCGCCAGGCCCCCCAAGACGCTCAGTGGAACTTCTTCTTCGACGACGACGTCCCAGGATTCGCCGCCTCCACCACGCAGGCTGACTTTCCGTACGAGTTTATGCTCACCGACCACAGCAGATACTCCAGGTAAGGAGGAGGGAGTGGGCAACATGGGACCTCCCTGCGCTCCTCTCCTCCCACCCTCGTATCTTTCTATCCCTCTCCCTTGCTAGCCTTTCCTCCGTCCTCTTCCCCCGTTCTCACTCGCTTCTCCTGCTCTCCGTGGAGCTCCTCCTTTCCTCCTCTCTCTCTGATCCTGTTTTCCCCCACCCTGTTTTCTTCGGCTTCCTCAATTTTCTGTTTGCAGCTCAATCCGAGCGTACGGGGTGATCTGGCACATCCTCAACGAGCTGTGTTGGAAGACCGGAAGGGTGAAGATGAAATGATCTTGTCTTGCTGCTCAAAAATGATGATGACGATGACGATGATGATGATGATGATGATGATGATGTTGTTGTTGTTGTTGTTGTTGTTGTTGTTGTTGAGGAGGAGGAGGAGGAGGAGGAGGAGGAGGAGGAGGAGGAGGAGGAGGAGGAGAAGAGATATGGATGTGGATGAGGATAATGAGCAGGAGGAGGAGGAGGAGGACGACGACGACGATGGTTACGATGATGCTGACCGTGCCATCTAGACTTCCTGTGCGTCCATGGTAGAGAGGCTGGGGGAGATCAGAAAAGACGCGGCCATGACGAGCGCACAGGTTCAGGGCAAGAAGCAGGAAGAGGGGGGGGGGGCTGACGAGGGTCAACAGCAGCAGGCATGGGAGTCGTTCTACAGCGATCAGAGCAAGATGGACATGGTGAGGGCCCGAGCTCGCGACCTCCAACGAACTTCCAGGTGGGTGCAGGAGAGACGCTAAGGCCACTCGTCCTCATCCTGAGAGCCATGAGACTTTCTCGAAGCTGCTGTTCATCGGCTGCCTTCCTCCCCCTCCACCTCAGTTTCCTTCCCTCGCTTCCAGCTCTGCTCCCCATGCCTTGTTGCTCCATCTCACCTCTCCTCCTCCTTTCTACTCTCCTCTGCCTCCCCCTCTCAGCTCTCCTCACTGCCGCCCTTCCTCACTTTCCTCGCAGCACTGATCAGGAGAGCGAATATCATGAAGGAAGTCACGCATGGGTCAGCCTCATGTCTGATGTTGCGGTACGCAGACCTTTCCTCCTCCTCCTCCCTCCCCCCTCCCCTCCTCTCCCCCCTTCCCTTCGCTCCTTCGCTCCCGTTCCCTTCCCCCTCCACTCCGTCCGCTCCATTCGTTTCCCCGTCCCCTTCCTGGTCCCTCCTCCCTTCATAGCCTCCTCGCCTCCACTTCCCTTCCCCACTCCCTCCCTCCCTCCCTCTCTCCCGCCTTAACTTAGTCACAGGCTTTCGACTACATGACGCCAGTCTACGAGGAGGAGGAGGACGAGGAGGAGGAGGACAAGCAAACCCTCGACGTACATCCTTGCAGCACTGGGGGGAGGGAGCATGACTGAACCTGCTGCAGGACGAGCTTCCGAGGGACGGAGAGCAGTTTCAGAGTAAGACAGCCAGGGAGTACCGCAGCTCCTCTGAGTTCCGTTTCCTCAGGTGTCAGAAATATACACCAAGGGATCGAGTACTTGCGGAAGGAGCACCGGACAGGTCCTCCTCCTCCTCCTCCTCCTCCTCCTCCTCCTCCTCCTCCATCCTACACCGAAGACGTCGCTCGACCATGACACATAGTTGGAATGAAACGGCATGATATGAATGACATGTCTTCCGACCCGCTGCAAGCTCATCGTGTCGTGAAACTTTTTCTGATGGTGCCTTCATTGCAAGCTTGTCAACTATAGACGTAGTCCTGTCAAGAGCCTGTCAGAAGGTCCTCTTGCCTTGAATGAGCTTATTCTTACCTTGATCATGAAGACATGCTGATTTCTGAGGCAAGGAAAGAAGGTCAGGACCTTCACAATCATTCTACGACATTGTATTACATTCTCTCTTCTTGTGCATGGCGGAATCGCTCAACAATGCTGTTTGCTGCAGCGAGGTGTTTCGATGAAGCTGTTCGGCGACTCGCTCCTGACACGTTCAATCTCGATCTCATCTCTTGCGCATTCCTCCTGTTCTCTTGTCTTGCCTACATAAGATGGCGCATCATTTCCACTCCTCCTCCTCCGTCTCCTCCTCCTCCGTCTCCTCCTCCTCCGTCTCCTCCTCCTGATTTACCTGGCGATACTGCGAAAGCTTCGCTACATCCTCCTGGCTGACAGCAGCTTGGGAGGGCGGCCGCATGCCTCCGACAGGGACTCTGGTGACATCAGTGTTGTGCCGGTTGTGATCGATCCTCCTCTCGCTCGAAACCTCCTCGACCCTCTTCCCCAGCTTGTTTGTCTCTGTCCGGTATCCCTCTCGGGGTATGATGCATACATGCTGCCGTGTCCTCGCACCCACGATCCTCTCCTTGGTGAACTTGTGGAACGCAAAAGGCGTCAGGTCAGCCGGCGGGGTGCTGGGCAGGTAAACTTCATCCTCTCTCAGACTCATCTTGGACATCTGACAACACACGTCACATTTGCAGTCTCAAAAGACGTGATTGAGGAACAAGGAGACAAGTTCCCTTGTCATAGGTGGTATTCCCACGGCATCTTTCTCGTCGCCTTCAGATCACTATGTGCAGTTCTCCCACTGGCTTGCCGCTTCACTTTCAGATCGTCTACTATTGCTCTTCCTGCTCCTCCTTCTCCTTCTCCTGCAGTTCCTGCTCCCCATGTGGCTCCTCCTCCTCCTCCTCCTCCTCCTCCTCCTCCTCCTCCTCCTCCTCCTCCTC